GATAACAGTTTTCTTACATTAATTAATGAACCATAGAGATACCCCGCTCTACGGGTGGTAACTCATTGGATCTGTTTAATTTGATTAAATTAAATTACATTTTCTTAGGGCTGCAACCACAGAAATACAATGTATTTATGCTACTAATAAGCTATTGTCAACTTCCCATCTATGGTTATTTTGTTCACTGCTCACTGTCACCCCTATTTGTGCAACTATTATTGAATTTGCATAAAAAAGTAATTTGGTTGCAAATGCAACTGTAAATCTCAATCTTATATTTATTTTCTTAATTTCTTTATTTTGATTTAGGATTATGTGCATATGGTTTTGTATTGTTAGGTATTACTGAACTGTTGGAGCCAGAAACACAAGCATTTCGCTGCACCTGAGATAACATTTGCAAATCTGTGTACGCAACCAATACATTTTGATTTAATTTGAAGTGCTAGTTCAATGTGAACATCTCATAGCATGCATTTGCTCTACATTGTTGTTGGTGGCCCATTCAATCTTAGCTGGTATACACTTTTAAAGGAGAGTGTGGGTTTACGGCCTTGACGATACGTTGATGATACGCTGAATGTAGTGTTTTTATTGCTGGACTGGAACAATAGCCTGCATCTGTAGCTCTCCAGGACCAGGGGTGGTGACCACTGATGTAGAGAGAGAGAGGTAACTGAAAATAGTCAGTCTGTTTTCTGCATGAAATGCTGCACCCTTCTGGTAGTTGTGTAAAATGCACAATGTAATCGCTTGTCGCCGGTGTTCATTGAATCACATTGAACTGCTTTAATCGTGCTCAGTAATGCTTTATTGATGCTATATTATCATCAAGGCCGTAAAGTGGTTCTCTGTAGCTCTGCTGGTAGAGCACGGCGCTTGTAACGCCAGGGTAGTGGGTTCGATCCCCGGGACCACCCATACACAAAAATGTATACACGCATGACTGTAAGTCGCTTTGGATAAAAGCATCTGCTAAATGGCATATTATTACTATAGTTCAAGTCTAGTTAAAAAGCATGAAGCTGGCGCACACCCCAGAGAACATTGTAGTGTAGAGGGGTTTTGGCTGACTAACGGGGAATAAACTGTAAAAACTATAAAACACACTCATGTATAAACTCCCAGTAATTTATTGGGTAAGAAAAACCACAAACGAGTCGGCATCACTGTGCCGTCTTCAGGGTAAAATCATGAATGCCCACAAAAGTGCTGAATTTGAAAAGTATATTAGAAAAAACATAATTAACTCTAAATACACCAACAGTAGAGAATACATTATTCATTGTAGTCATCGTTACAGTAAATGTAGGACACCATACCCCCTAATCCTCGATCAATACCACCTTGTTCACCTCTCTCCCCTTAATCTCCGAATTCAATACACAATCGTTCACCCTCTCTCCCTTTAAAATCCTCACAAATTCCAATAACACCCTCGTTCAACATCTCTCCCCCTTACATCCTCCCAATTCAATACCCACCCTCGTTAACCCTTCTCCCCCAGTAATCCTCCAATTCAATACCACCCTCTTCACCTCTCTCCCCTTACATCCTCCCAAATCAATTTACCCACCCTCGTCTCACCCCCTCTCTCCCCCTTACATGCCTCCCAATCATCACCACCCTAGTTCACCCTCTCTCCCCCTTACATTCCTGCCCAATTCAATCCACCTCGTCACCTCTCTCCCCCTTACCATACCCCATTCAATACCACCCTCGTTCACCCTCTCTCCCCCCTTACATCCTCCCAATTCAATACCCCCTCTCGTTCACCCTATCTCCCTTAACATCCTAAAAAGTCAATACACCCCTCATCACATCGCTAACCCTTACATCCTCAAAATTCAATACAACATAGTTTCACCCTCTCCGCGCCCTTACAATCCTCCCAATCAATACCACCTCATTCACCCTCTCTCAACCACTTACATCCTCCAATTCAATACCACCCCGTTCACCCTCTCTCCCTTACATCCTCCCATTCACTACCACCTCGTTCCACCCTCTATACGCTGTTATGTCCCTAGCCAATGAGTTTGAGTATCATAACCAAAAAACTAAGGACGTATTCCTCCATTGGCTGTTGCAGTTTATTTTAATTTTTTTATGGGAGAAATACATAACATAATAATGTGTAATAACATGTAATTCAGTGGTGTCAAACAGCCCTGGGCCCGTTAAAGACACCCCTGATGTAATGGAATGTCATTCTTTTAGCACTGCAGACGCTAATGTCCCAGGTGCTATTTTAAAGTGAAAATGTAATGGGATGCATTTGCTCTGTTGTTTAAAATATGTGGTGGCCCACTCACTCTTTGGTGTGCACATTTTAAAGAAGACTGTGGCTTGATGATACGTTGAGGAATTTTGTGTTTTTATTGCTGGGTAGGAGCAATAGGGTAGCTCTCAGGGGAGAGAGAAGGAGGTAGCTGAAAATGGTTGGTCGGTTTAATGCCTGAAATTCTGCTCCCCTCTGTTAGTTTTGGAGAATGAATAATGTAATCATTCTTGTCTGCCGTGGTCTTTGAATACCATTAAACTGCTTTAATCATGCTCAGCGATGCTTTATTGATCCCAAAATATTCCAGTGTCTCGGGGCTGTGTTTTCTCCTGTATCTTACCATTTGCATCACAAGAGGTTGGGGGCATCTTTATTGGGGAGAATAGACTCATGGGAATGACTGGAGCAGAATCAGAGGAATAGGATCAAATGCATCAAACACATGGTTTCCATGGTTTCCAGGTGTCTGATGCCATTCCATTGGTTCCGTTATGGACATTATTATGAGGCGTTCTCCTCTCAGCGTCCTCCACTGATTTGCATAGACTAATGCTACTCTACTAGAGCAAACGTGTCAGTTTAATATCATACATCACCTCGGGGCGGCAGGTAGCTTAGTGGGTAAGAGCGTTGTGCCAGTAACCGAAAGGTCGCTGGTTCTAATCCCCGAGCCGACTAGGTGAAACATCTGTCGATGTGCCCTTGAGCAAGGCACTTAACCCTAATTGCTCCTGTAAGTCGCTCTGGATAAGAGCGTCTGCTAAATAAGTTAATTAAATAATTAATTAATTAATTAATTACAGCCTCTCGTGCCGGTCTCCTATTGGCTGGTTTTACTAGATGGTTTTAAACAGTTGTTGGTCTCATTCCTCTGCCCTTATTGGGAAATTGAGTGTTGCCCAAGGAAGATGGAAGACTGACATTCACATGCCACTTGACATCTTCTTTACACCATAACTCTATACAGAGTAGGACCAGTTTTATACTGTATTGTAGCTGAGCTTCTACTGTTGTAAGTACTCAACGTTGTTTGTTTTAGCTCGTTGCCTTTAAATTAATAAAATAGCATAAAAATAACTTTTAAATCTCTTTTTTGAGTGTTTGACCGTCTACAAATGAATCTGATGTTTTTAACTTACAGTGCTTCTAGACACTCACCTATGCCCAATTACAAAAAAGTACTGTATGAACAACTAATTGTGATTCTAATGTCCCTAGACGTTGTTTAACTGGGGTATATCTTCTGTCTCACTCATTCATGGCCATGATCCCCTTCATACTACTTGAACAATGTCAGACTTATTCACTGTTTGTTCAGTGCTTAATCAGGTGCAGTCCAGGACCAGGGTTGTGGACCAATGACGTGCATGCCAATTTGCATTTACAACTAATGTGCCACTTCAGTGTAAGTCTCGTTCATACCCCACAAACTCCTGTGCCTGTCTGCCATTGGCTGTTTTTACTAGTTTGTTTTAGAACATACGTTGGTCTCATTCCTCTGTCTTTCTGTGGACATCAGAGGCTGACTGATCCTCCTGCCTGGACAGGTGCATTGACACAAGGCTTGTAGCTCACCTTGATAACGTCCTACTGAATAGGATCATTACCATACTACTCTTCACATCAAGGCCTTTAACGCCCCAGTCTTCTTTAAAAATGTATACCATCTATGACAGCAAATGCATGCAATGAGATTTTTTGATTTAAAAAGCACTAGGGACATGACCGTATCTGTAGTGACCAATATAATACCACAAACAGCAGGCCCTGGGCCCATTCAACACAACCCTGATGTAATGGGATGTCATTTCCTGACCACTACAGATACTGTCATGTCCCTAGTGCTTTTTAAATCTTAAAATCTCATAGCATGCATTTGCTATCTTAGCTGGTATTCATTTTTAAAGGAGACTGTGGCTTTATGGCCTTGATGATAAGTTGATGATACGCTGAATGTAGTGTTTTTATTGCTGGGCTGGAACAATAGCCTGCATCTGTAGCTCTCCAGGACCAGGAGTGGTGACCACTGATGTAGAGAGAGAGGTAGCTGAAAATAGTTGGTCTGTTTTCTGCATGAAATGCTGCACCCTTCTGGTAGTTGTGTAGAATGCATAATGTAATCACTTGTTGCCGGTGGTCTTTCAATCACATTGAACTGCTTTAATTGTGCTCAGTGATGCTTTATTAATGCTACAGGGCAAGTGCTCAAAATATATGATAAAAACACAATTAACTCTAAATTACACCACATTACTGAATACATTTTTCTATGTAGGCATAGTTACAGTAAATGCTACAGTAAATATAGTTACAGTAAATAATACAGTAAATATAGTTACAGTAAATGCTGCAGTAAATATAGTTACAGTAAATTCTACAGCAAATATAGTTATAGTAAATATAGTTACAGTAATTGCTATAGTAAATATAGTTACAGTAAATGCTATATATGACCTGGGTTCAAATAATATTTGAAATCTTTCTAATACTTTGAGCGTTTTCTTTAACCGAGGTGGAATGCCAGGTGGGCAGGGTTTGCACTTTGGGGACTGTTCTATTGGTTTCAATGCAACATGCAAGCTAAATTAAACGCAAATAAAGTATTTGAAAATGTTTCAAACAGTATTTGAACCCAGGTTTGTATGTAACCTATGATGAAGTTGTTGGTAGCAGGAGTTTTGTATTAGATTTCTCCCTGTGTGGGCATTACATTATGGAGCAAAGGGCCACGCAGAAGAAGAACGATGTGAACATACAGTATATAACACAGGTCTACAGTGATGGGGGAAATCCACAGGGAAACAAGCAAGCAAAAGTAGCCCAGCCTGTTTCATTTCACTCTCTGAATGAAAGAGAGCTTCACTGACTAACAGACATGTTGACTGCTGTATTTTCCTATACAGCTTTACAATTCAGATTGCTCTGGAGCCCTACACTATCCAGGTAGTAGAGAGTTTCACAGTTCAAAACCTTCTGTCCCTTTTCCTTTTTGGTAATTTTGAACATCTCAAAAGGTGGAATCAACACCTCCTGCTCCTTGTCTCCCATCACTGGGTAGGACTTGAGATCAGCTCCTGCACATGTAGTTATATTAAAGCAGGACTTCTCTCCAAAATCTGTCAAGTTCTTTAGGAAAGAGCTGGAGGCAAAGAAGCCGAATCTGATTATTTTGTTAACTTCACCTAAAAACACCATGTTGGTTCTTCGAAATGTCTTGTAACAGCGCTGTTGGTTTTCCTTCAGGAGGCGGAGAGCATCAGTCAGGAAGAAATGCAGGGAGTGGAACTGGAAGGTGGACCTGTAGACTGTGCTACTGATCCTGACTTCCTGGTTGAACACTGGGTATATCTTAAAATCTCCTGCTGTGTAAGCACAGATAGCCTTGATATGGTCTTCGCTAAGTTTGTCTTCATTCATTTTATTTTTTGAGGCACATTTTTTTTGCATTCAACCAGGGTTTTCTGAAGATCTCTGTTTTGTTTTCTTTTGGAAGATATTCCTTCTGCACCTTGTTGTACATTTGTTCAGTGCAGCCGTAATACATGTCGTCAACAGAGTTAGGGACCATGTCCAAGGGTATGGGGGAATTGAGACCAGGCTGATGGAGATGAACCTTCAGAGAATATGGTAGGAAAAAAACAGGCAAAAAGTGTAAAAGAGAGGAAAATGTGAATTAAAATTCCCCCTCTCTCTCTCTCTCTCTCTCTCCTCTCTCTCTCTCTCTCTCTCTCTCTCTCTCTCTCTCTCTCTCTCTCTCTTTCTCTCTCTCAAATTCATTAATTGAAATTCAATATGCTTTAATGGCATGAATAACAAGGTCAAGGTTGCCAAAGCAAATTGATACACACAATTATGAAAACAACAGTGACAACAATAGAATAGTAGCTATAATACTATATATAAGAAATTAAACAAAAACGTATATAATAATAAAAAATTTTTAAATACCCTCTCTCGCTCTCTATCTCTCTCTCTCTCTCCTCTCTCTCTCTCTCTCTCTCTTCTCTCTCTCTCTCTCTACCCTTTCTCTATCTTATCTATCTCTTCTCTCTCTCTCTCTCTCTCTCTCGTTCTCTCTCTCAATTCATTAATTGAAATTCAATATGTTTAATGCAGAATACAAGGTCAGGTTGCCAAGCAAATTGAATTACACACAATTTGAAAAACAACAAGTGACAACAATAAAAAATAAGTAGCTATAATACTATATCTAAGAGAAATGAAACAAAAAACGTATATAATTAATAAAATGTAATACCTCTCTCGTCTCTCCTCTAGAGATCTCTCCTCTCTCTCTCTCTCCTCGCTCTCTCTCTCTCTCTCTCTCTCTCTCTCTCTCTCTCCTCTCTCTCAAAATTGGGTAATATCTTACCCATCTTGGAGTCCCCACCAAAGGTCCAGCCTGATGAAATACCACAGTAAAGCTTGAGGAATCTTGTGTCGTGTCATGATGTCAAAAATAGTTTGGTCCAATGGCAATGTAATGGAGATGAATCCTTTTAGATACAGAATCAGCATTAAAGGTTCAGCTTTCAGAGGGGCCTTGTTTATACCAGCGCCTTGTGGGGAGGGGCACAGGGGCCCCGCCGCGCGGGCGAAGAACAGGCACCGAAGAGACAAGGGACCCCGCAAACACAAACCAGGAGCACAGGAAACACACACACACACACACACACACCACACACACACACACAACACCACACCACACACCACACACCACATCACACACACACACACCACACACAACACACACACCACCACACACACACACACCACACAACACACACACAACACACACAACACACAAACACACACACACACACACCCCACAGCTAGCGGTTAGAGCATTGGGCCAGTAATGACAAGGTGATGGTTAAGTCCCCCAGCAAGCCAGGTGGTGAGAAAAATCTGCCATTTCTCAAAGGTTGCCGATGAGTCGATTAAGGTAGCCCCTGCACCTCTTGATTCAGAAGGGTTGGGTTAAATTGGGGAAGACACATTTTGGTTGAATGCATTCAGTTGTGCAACTGACTAGGTATCCGCCTTTCCCTTCAATACTCACACCCATACAGTGTGATGCCTAGTTGGGACAAAACCTGCAGTACATGATGCCCTCCGACAAATAGGGTTGATTTCCTTCGGCTGTCTAAGCTTTGTCTGCCAATCATTCGTTTATCTGGTTTAGTTAAAACTGGCCCTCTTCTGCCCAGAATGCACCATGTCAAGGGCAAAAGCCTCTGGGACCATTAGTGTGTGTGTTCGCTATTCTGTGGTCTCTCATGCCAATTGTCCAGGTTATGATGTAGGCAGTTTCTAATACTGCTGGTTTATGGTATGTTACCTTTACCTTTGTTATTGACTGAGATGGAGAGGACTGTAGGTGACAGGTTCCATCCTTTGTTATGACTGAGAGATGTGAGAGACTGGTAGGTTAACAGGTTCCATTCCTTCGTTATGACTGAGATGTGAGAGCCTGGTTAGGTTAACAGGTTCCATGCCTTGTTATGACTGAGATGTGAGAGGCCTGGTAGGTGGACAGGGTTCCATTCCTGGTTATGACTGAGATGTGAGAAGGCTGGTAGGTTGACAGCGTTCCCTATATTGCGTTCTATGTGAGGTCTGTCAGATTTGTGGTGGTTACAAATTGATTAGAGTTCATGAAAAAGGGACAAGGAAAGGAAGGATGCCAGATGAAGAATAGTGGGAGGTGCTTAGTGGTTGGGCCACTGACTGTGTAGTTTATGGTGGAGTTAAAATCACTGACTGTGTAGTTTATGGTGGGAGTCAGCCAATGACTGTGAGTTTATGGTGGGTTAAATCACTGACTGTTGTAGTATGGTGGAGTTCAGCACTGGACTGAGTAGTTTTGGTGGAGTTCAGCAAAGGACTTTGTAGTTTATGTGGAGTGTTAATCACTGACGTGTAGTTTATGGTGGAGTCCAGCCACTGATGTGGAGTTTATGGTGGAGTTGGTTTTAAATCATGACTGTGTAGTTATGGTGAGTTCAGCCACTGACTGCGTAGGTTTTATGGTGGAGTTCAGCCAAAGGGACTTTGTTAATGGGTGGAGTCCAGCCAAGACTTGTAGTTTTATGGTGGGAGTCTAGCCAATGGACTGTGTTGTAGTTTTATGGTGGAGTCCCAGCCACTGTATAGGACAGCACCCTAATTCAAACAGTTATATTGTAGGTGATGTATGTTACACGATTAATACAGGTCACATTCTAATGCTAATATGCATACACGCAGGAAAAACACGCACCACACACAGGACGGAAAAACACCAAAATGACTCCGAGAATTGTTTTTCACACTTCGTTCATACTGAGCATTATATGTGAACTGACTAACAACAGCCGCAGCACTGATGATACTGCGAAAAGGTTTCCACATAATAAAGTACAGAAAACCCTTAAACCCCTAATCACCTTCCCCTCTAATTCAGGGGATGATTTGAGGCCTGATACTCACAGCCAATATACCAATAATCAATTTCAATAACCCAGAATAAAGGAAAGCAGCACTACAGTGAGGCTTGAGGCCCTTAGTCCAGGGTTTCCCACCCTTCCTCAGGGGACCATCAGACGTTCAACATTAGTTTTAAGCCCTAAACGGACAAAACCTGATACAGTCTACTAACCATCAACCCCTTGCTTAATGATGCAGGTGGGCCGTCGGTGTTCCAGAGGAGAGGGGTGGAAGACTGCGCCTAGCAGCACTTGGTCCTGTAGTTGCCGCAGGAACTTTATGTTTTGGATTAAGCCGGAACAGGAAGGACCAGGTGTTGTGAAGTTTGTCAATCACTCAAACCGATCATTTAGTTCAGTTGGTGCTGGTGTGGAGCCTAGCTCTATCTCTCTCTCTCTCTCTCTCTCTCTCTCTCTCTCTCTCTCTCTCTCTCTCTCTCTCTCTCTCTCTCAAAATTGGTGTAATATCTTACCATCTTGGAGTCCACACCCAAAGTCCAAGCCTGGATGAAATACATCACAGTAAAGCTTAGGATCTTGTGTCTTGTCATGATGTCAAAATATGTTGGTCCAATGGCAACTTGTAATGGAGATGAATTGCCTTTTAAGATACAGAATCAGCATTGAAATGTTCAGCTTTCAGGGGGCCTTGTTATACCAGCGCTCTTGTGGTTATTTTCACAGTCCCTCCTCTCTTGCTGAGAACAGGCACCTACAGATACAAGTACCCCTCAAACCACAAACCCCTTAGCACAGTACACACACACACACACACACACACACACACACACACACACACACACACACACACACACACACACACACACACACACACACACACACACACACACACACACACACACACACACACACACACACACACACACACACACACACACACACACACACACACACACACACACACACACACAGCCTAGCGGTTAAGAGCATTGGGCCAGTAATTGAAAAGTTGCTGGTTCAAGTCCCCCAGCCAGCCAGGTGGAAAAATCTGCCATTCTCCCCGGTTGCCGATGACGTCGATTAAGGTAGCCCCCTGCACCTCTCTGATTCAGAAGGGTTGGGTTAAATGTGGAAGACACATTTTGGTTGAATGCATTCAGTTGTGCAACTGACTAGGTATCCGCCTTTCCCTTCACATACTCACACACATACAGTGTGATGCCTAGTTGGGACAAAAACCTGCAGTACCTGATGCCCTCCACAAATAGGGTTGATTTCCTCTGGCCTAGTCTAAGCTTTGTCTGCCAATCATTCGTTTATCTGGTTTAGTTAAACACTGCCCTCTTCTGCCCAGAATGCACCATGTCAAGACTAAAGGCCTCTGGGTACATTAGTGTGTGTGTTCGCTATTCTGTGGTCTCTCATGCCAATGTCCAGGTTATGATTTAGGCAGTATTCTAATACTGCTGGTTATGGTTGTTACCTTTACTTTGTTATGACTGAGATGTGAGAGACCTGGTAGGTTGACAGGGTTCCATTCCTTTGTTATGACTGAGATGTGAGAGACCTGGTAGGTTAACAGGGTTCCATTCCTTCGTTATGACTGAGATGTGAGAGGCCTGGTAGGTTAACAGGGTTCCATTCCTTTGTTATGACTGAGATGTGAGAGGCCTGGTAGGTTGACAGGGTTCCATTCCTTTGTTATGACTGAGATGTGAGAGGCCTGGTAGGTTGACAGCGTTCCATCATATTGCGTTCATATGGTGAGGTCTGTCAGATTTGTGGTGGTTACAAATGATAGGAGTTCATGAAAAGGGACAAGGAAAGGAAGGATGCAGATTGAGACTAGTGGGATGTGTCCTTAGTGGTTGGGCCACTGACTGTGTAGTTTATGGTGGAGTTAAATCACTGACTGTGTAGTTTATGGTGGAGTCCAGCCAATGACTGTGTAGTTTATGGTGGAGTTAAATCACTGACTGTGTAGTTTATGGTGGAGTTCAGCCACTGACTGCGTAGTTTATGGTGGAGTTCAGCCAAAGACTTTGTAGTTTATGGTGGAGTTAAATCACTGACTGTGTAGTTTATGGTGGAGTCCAGCCACTGACTGTGGAGTTTATGGTGGAGTTAAATCACTGACTGTGTAGTTTATGGTGGAGTTCAGCCACTGACTGCGTAGTTTATGGTGGAGTTCAGCCAAAGACTTTGTAATTTATGGTGGAGTCCAGCCAATGACTGTGTAGTTTATGGTGGAGTCTAGCCAATGACTGTGTAGTTTATGGTGGAGTCCAGCCACTGTATAGACAGCACCTAATCCAACAGTTATATCTGTAGAGTGATGTATGTTCACACAGATTAATACAGGTCACATTCTAATGCTAATATGCATACACGCAGGAAAACACGCACACACACAGGACGGAAACACCAAATGACTTCCGAGAATTGTTTTTTCACACTTCGTTCATACTGAGCTATATGTGAACATGACTAACAACAGCAGCAGCACTGCTGATACTGAGAAAAGGTTTCCCATAATAACAGTACAGAAAGACCCTTAAACCTCCTCATCATCCTTCCCCTCTAATCAGGGACTGATTCAGGCCTGGAATACTAACAGCCAATATACCAATAATCAATCAATAACCCAGAATAAAGGAAAGCAGCACTACAGTGAGGCTTGAGGCCCTTAGTCCAGGGTTTCCCAACCCTCTCCTCAGGGACCATCAGACGTTTCACATTTTAGTTTTAGCCCTAAACGGACAAACCTGATACAGTCTACTAACCATCAACCCCTTGACTAATTGATGCAGGTGTGCCAGTCTGGTTGTTCCAGAGGAGAGGGTTGGGAAGTACTGCGCCTAGCAGGCAACCTTGGTCCTGTAGTGCCGCATGAACTTTATGTTTTGGATTTAACCGACCAGGAAGACCAGGTGTGTTGAAGTTTGTCAATCACTCAACCGATCATTTAGTTCAGTTGGTCTGGTGTGGAGCCTAGTTGGGACAACACCCTGCAGTACCTGCAGCACTCCAGTAACGGGGTTGCTTACCCCTGACCTAGACTAAGCTTTGACTGCCAATCACTTCTTCAGCAGGTTGAGTGAAGTACTGCCCACTTCTGGCTGCTGTGAGGAATGCACCGTGTCAAGACACTAAAGCAGGGTTTCCCAAACTCGGTCCTTGGGACCCCAAAGGGTGCACGTTTTGGTTTTTGCCCTAGCACTACACAGCTGATTAAACTAATCATCAGGCTTTGATAAGTTGAAACAGCAGTGTATTGTTCGTGCAAAAACCAAACCGTGCACCCTTTGGGGTCCCGAGGACCGAGATTGTGAAACGCTGAACTAAAGGCTTTTAGGTACATTAGCGTGTGTTTGCTTTTCAGTGGCCTCTCATGCCAGTGTCCAGGGTATGACTTAGACAGTATTCCAATATTCTAATACTGCTGGTTATGGTTGTTATGACTGAGATGTGAGAGACCTGGTAGGTTGACAGGGTTCCATTACTTTGTTATGACTGAGATGTGAGAGACCTGATAGGTTGACAGGGTTCCATTCCTTTGTAATGACTGAGATTTGAGAGACCTGGTAGGTTGACAGGGTTCCATTCCTTTGTTATGACTGAGATGTGAGAGACCTGGTAGGTTGACAGGGTTCCATTCCTTTGTTATGACTGAGATGTGAGAGACCTGGTAGGTTGACAGGGTTCCATTCCTTTGTTATGACTGAGATGTGAGAGGCCTGGTAGGTTGACAGCGTTCCATCATATTGCGTTCATATGGTGAGGTCTGTCAGATTTGTGGTGGTTACAAATGATAGGAGTTCATGAAAAGGGACAAGGAAAGGAAGGATGCAGATTGAGACTAGTGGGATGTGTCCTTAGTGGTTGGGCCACTGACTGTGTAGTTTATGGTGGAGTTAAATCACTGACTGTGTAGTTTATGGTGGAGTCCAGCCAATGACTGTGTAGTTTATGGTGGAGTTAAATCACTGACTGTGTAGTTTATGGTGGAGTTCAGCCACTGACTGCGTAGTTTATGGTGGAGTTCAGCCAAAGACTTTGTAGTTTATGGTGGAGTCCAGCCAATGACTGTGTAGTTTATGGTGGAGTTAAATCACTGACTGTGTAGTTTATGGTGGAGTCCAGCCACTGACTGTGGAGTTTATGGTGGAGTTAAATCACTGACTGTGTAGTTTATGGTGGAGTTCAGCCACTGACTGCGTAGTTTATGGTGGAGTTCAGCCAAAGACTTTGTAATTTATGGTGGAGTCCAGCCAATGACTGTGTAGTTTATGGTGGAGTCCAGCCAATGACTGTGTAGTTTATGGTGGAGTCCAGCCACTGTATAGACAGCACCTAATCCAACAGTTATATCTGTAGAGTGATGTATGTTCACACAGATTAATACAGGTCACATTCTAATGCTAATATGCATACACGCAGGAAAACACGCACACACACAGGACGGAAACACCAAATGACTTCCGAGAATTGTTTTTTCACACTTCGTTCATACTGAGCTATATGTGAACATGACTAACAACAGCAGCAGCACTGCTGATACTGAGAAAAGGTTTCCCATAATAACAGTACAGAAAGACCCTTAAACCTCCTCATCATCCTTCCCCTCTAATCAGGGACTGATTCAGGCCTGGAATACTAACAGCCAATATACCAATAATCAATCAATAACCCAGAATAAAGGAAAGCAGCACTACAGTGAGGCTTGAGGCCCTTAGTCCAGGGTTTCCCAACCCTCTCCTCAGGGACCATCAGACGTTTCACATTTTAGTTTTAGCCCTAAACGGACAAACCTGATACAGTCTACTAACCATCAACCCCTTGACTAATTGATGCAGGTGTGCCAGTCTGGTTGTTCCAGAGGAGAGGGTTGGGAAGTACTGCGCCTAGCAGGCAACCTTGGTCCTGTAGTGCCGCATGAACTTTATGTTTTGGATTTAACCGACCAGGAAGACCAGGTGTGTTGAAGTTTGTCAATCACTCAACCGATCATTTAGTTCAGTTGGTCTGGTGTGGAGCCTAGTTGGGACAACACCCTGCAGTACCTGCAGCACTCCAGTAACGGGGTTGCTTACCCCTGACCTAGACTAAGCTTTGACTGCCAATCACTTCTTCAGCAGGTTGAGTGAAGTACTGCCCACTTCTGGCTGCTGTGAGGAATGCACCGTGTCAAGACACTAAAGCAGGGTTTCCCAAACTCGGTCCTTGGGACCCCAAAGGGTGCACGTTTTGGTTTTTGCCCTAGCACTACACAGCTGATTAAACTAATCATCAGGCTTTGATAAGTTGAAACAGCAGTGTATTGTTCGTGCAAAAACCAAACCGTGCCCCCTTTGGGGTCCCGAGGACCGAGATTGTGAAACGCTGCACTAAAGGCTTTTAGGTACATTAGCGTGTGTTTGCTTTTCAGTGGCCTCTCATGCCAGTGTCCAGGGTATGACTTAGACAGTATTCCAATATTCTAATACTGCTGGTTATGGTTGTTATGACTGAGATGTGAGAGACCTGGTAGGTTGACAGGGTTCCATTCCTTTGTTATGACTGAGATGTGAGAGACCTGATAGGTTGACAGGGTTCCATTCCTTTGTAATGACTGAGATTTGAGAGACCTGGTAGGTTGACAGGGTTCCATTCCTTTGTTATGACTGAGATGTGAGAGACCTGGTAGGTTGACAGGGTTCCATTCCTTTGTTATGACTGAGATGTGAGAGACCTGGTAGGTTGACAGGGTTCCATTCCTTTGTTATGACTGAGATTTGAGAGGCCTGGTAGGTTGACAGGGTTCCATTCCTTTGTTATGACTGAGATTTGAGAGGCCTGGTAGGTTGACAGGGTTCCATTCCTTTGTTATGACTGAGATTTGAGAGGCCTGGTAGGTTGACAGGGTTCCATTCCTTTGTTATGACTGAGATGTGAGAGGCCTGGTAGGTTGACAGGGTTCCATCATATTGCGTTCATATGGTGAGGTCTGTCAGATTTGTGGTGGTTACAAATGATAGGGGATAATGAAAAGGGACAAGGAAAGGAAGGACGCATATTGAGACTATTGGGATGTGGCCCTAGTGGTTAGGCCACTGACTGTGCAGTTTATGGTGGAGTTCAGCCAATGACTGTGTAGTTTATGGTGGAGTCCAGCAACTGACTGTGTAGTTTATGGTGGAGTCCAGCCACTAAATATGTATTTAATGGTGGAGTCCAGCCACTGACTGTGTAGTTTATGGTGGAGTTCAGCCAATGTCTGTGGAATTTATGGTGGAGTTCAGCCAATGACTGTGGAATTTATGGTGGAGTTCAGCCAATGTCTGTGGAATTTAGGGTGGAGTTCAGCCAATGACTGTGGTGTTTATGGTGGAGTTCAGTCACTTACCGTGTAGTTTATTGTGGAGTCCAGCCACTGACTGTGTAGTTTATGATGGAGCCCAGCCACTGACTGTGTAGTGTATGGTGGAGTTCAGCCAATGTCTGTGGAATTTATGGTGAAGTTCAGCCAATGACTGTGGAGTTTATGGTGGAGTTCAGCCAATGTCTGTGGAATGTATGGTGAAGTTCAGCCAATGACTGTGGAGTTTATGGTTGAGTTCAGCCAATGTCTGTGGAATTTATGGTGGAGTTCAGCCAATGACTGTGGTGTATATGGTAGAGTACAGTCACTTACCGTGTAGTTTATTGTGGAGTCCAGCCAATGACTGTGTAGTTTATGGTGGAGTCCAGCTACTGACTGTGTAGTTTATGGTGGTGTCCAGCCACTGACTGTGTAGTTTATGATGGAGCCCAGCCACTGACTGTCGAGTTTATGGTGGAGTTCAGCCACTGACTGTGGAGTTTATGGTGGAGTTCAGCCACTGACTGTGGAGTTTATGGTGGAGTCCAGTCACTGACTGTGGAGTTTATGGTGGAGTTCAGTCACTGTCTGTGTAGTTTATGGTGGAGTTCAGTCACTGACTGTGTAGTTTATGGTGGAGTCCAGCCACTGACTGTGTAGTTTATGGTTTAGTTCAGCCACTGACTGTGGAGTTTATGGTTGAGTCCAGCCACTGACTGTGGAGTTTATAGCCAGCCCCTGTATAGGTGGCACCTTATCCAACAGTTATATCTGTAGAGTGATGTGTGTTTACACAGATTAATACAGGTCACTTTCAAAAGAACACATGCATACATGCTAACACACACACACACACACACACACACACACACACACACACACACACATACACACACACACACACACACACACACACACACACACACACACACACACACACACACACACACACACAGGCAGGAAACACCACATGGCTTCTGATAAAAAAAAATTCACACTTCTTTCATACTGAGCTATATGTGAACATGACTAACACCAGCAGCAGCACTGCTGATACTGAGAAAAGGTTACCCATAGTAACAGTACAGAAAGACCCTTAAACCTCATCATCATCCTTCCCCTCTAATCAGGGACTGATTCAGGCATGAAATACTCATATCCAATATACCACTAATCAATCAATTGATTGATCGATCAGTCGATCAATTAACCCATCAATTAATCAGCTATCAGGGAATAAAGAAAACAGCACTACGGCAAACCTTGAGGCCCCTAGTATAAACTTCGGAGCCAATCAAGGACGGCAGGGGCAGGGCCCCACCACTTATGAGAATCAGCCGGTGATGGGTGACATGCCTGTGGGCTAATCGGGGCGGGGCAATTTGTGAAGAGACGTCCAGAATTGACTTAATGTAATGTTGTAACTTTAGTTTGTCTAAACGTGGTACAGTGAAAGTGAAAACAAAATGGACGAGACTTACTGTAGTCAAGCTCAATGATTTTCTTTATTCATTTTGCCAGAAGTTGCAGAAGACATTTACTGTAAGTGCTTTAAAGTCTCCTATGGAGTCTGATACAAAGGCTAGTACAAACATCTTAATAATCACTATTTCAGGTAGTCAGGATGAGGTTTGTATGTAACATCCACCAATGAACCAATTAACTTAATACAATAAAAGCTTTAAACACTGAAAACACATTGTTTGGCTTTATTTACTTTAAGAAGGATAAGCAGCCTGGCTGTTTGATTTAAATCCTATTTAGGGACAATTACTCAAGATCAACATAGATTTTCTTAATTAATAATTGGCTTCTTAAAAATGTTGCAATTCAGGTTACTCTTGGGGGGTTTGATACTCTCTAGTTTGTACACAACATCGCACCAAAGGTTTTCATCATTTTCTTTCTTCATCACGGCAGTAACTTTGAACACTTCATACGGTGGAATCAACACCTCCTTTTCATGATTCCCCATGTTGGGGTAGGACTTCAGATTAGCGGAAAAAACATGTATTTATGTCAAAGCAAGACTTGTCTCCAAATTTTTTTTAAATTCCCTTCTCAAGAGAGCTGGAGGCAAAGAAGCCAAATCTGATTATTTTGTTAACTTCACCTCCAAACTCCATGTTGGTTCTCCGGTATGTGGTGTGACAGGTCTGTTGGTTTAGTTTCAGGAGGCAAATGGCGTCAGTCAGCAGGAAATGCAGGGAGTGGAACTGGAAGGAGGTTGTGTACTCTGTTCTATTGGTCCGGACTGCTTGGTTGAACACTGGGTATATCTTAGGGGAACCTGCTGTGTAAGCACAGATAGCCTTGATATGATCATGTGTAAGTTTGTCTTTAGAATTGGACTTGGCCTTTCTTGCACATTTTTCTGCATTCATCCAGGCTTGTTTGAAGATCCCTTCCCTGTTGTTTTCATGTTCCAGATATTCCTTCTGCACCTTGTTGTACATTTGTTCAGTGCAGCCGTTATACATGTCGTCAAGGGAGTTAGGGACCATGTCTAAGGGTTTGGGGGAATTGAGACCAAGTTGACGGAGATGAACCTTCAGAGAATTGGTCGAAAAAAAACAGGTACAAAGTGTAAGAGGGATTTTTTATATGTATTTAAATTATCTTTCTCTCTCTCTCACGCTCTCCCTCTCTCTCTCTCTCTCTCTCTCTCACATTTTATATAAAACAAATCGAACAAATTAACAAACACATATCTAATACAAAAATGTAATACAAAACTGTAATATTGTAATACCCTTTCTCTCTCTCTCTCTCTCTCTCTCTATTTGAAGATACAGAATCAGCATTGAAATGTTTAACTTTCAGGGAGTGTTTTTATACCAGTGCTCTTATGGTAATTTTCACAGTCCCTCCTCTCTTGCTGAGAACAAGCACCTACAGGCACAAGTACCCATCAAACCACAAACCCCTTAGCACAGTACACACACACACACACACACGCACACACACACACACACACACACACACACACACACACACACACACACACACACACACACACACACACACACACACACACACACACACACACACACACACACACACACACACACACACACACACACACACACACACACACACACACACACACACACACACACACACACACACACACACATAGATAGCCTAGTGGTTATGAGCATTGGGCCAGTAATTGAAAAGTTGCTGGTTCATGTCCCCCAGCCAGCCAGGTGGAAAAATCTGCCATTCTCCCCGGTTGCCGATGACGTTGATTAAGGTAGCCCCCTGCACCTCTCTGATTCAGAAGGGTTGGGTTAAATGTGGAAGACACATTTTGGTTGAATGCATTCAGTTGTGCAACTGACTAGGTATCCCCCTTTCCCTTCACATACTCACACACATACAGTGTGATGCCTAGTTGGGACAAAATCCTGCAGTACCTGATGCCCTCCACAAATAGTGTTGATTTCCTCTGGCCTAGTCTAAGCTTTGTCTGCCAATCATTCCTTTATCTGGTTGAGTTAAACACTGCCCTCTTCTGCCCAGAATGCACAGTCAAGACTAAAGGCCTCTGGGTACATTAGTGTGTGTGTTTGCTATTCTGTTGTCTCTCATGCCAATGTCCAGGTTATGATTTAGGCAGTATTCTAATACTACTGGTTATGGTTGTTACCTTTCCTTTGTTATGACTGAGATGTGAGAGGCCTGGTAGGTTAACAGGGTTCCATTCCTTTGTTATGACTGAGATGTGAGAGGTCTGGTAGGTTAACAGGGTTCCATTCCTTTGTTATGACTGAGATGTGAGAGGCCTGGTAGGTTGATAGTGTTCCATCATATTGCGTTCATATGGTGAGGTCTGTCAGATTTGTGGTGGTTACAAATGATAGGAGTTCATGAAAAGGGACAAGGAAAGGAAGGATGCAGATTGAGACTATTGGGATGTGTCCTTAGTGGTTGGGCCACTGACTGTGTAGTTTATGGTGGAGTTCAGCCACTGACTGTGTAGTTTATGGTGGAGTTCAGCCACTGACTGTGTAGTTTATGGTGGAGTTCAGTCACTGACTGTGTAGTTTATGGTGGAGTCCAGCCACTGACTGTGTAGTTTATGGTTTAGTTCAGCCACTGACTGTGGAGTTTATGGTTGAGTCCAGCCACTGACTGTGGAGTTTATAGCCAGCCCCTGTATAGGTGGCACCTTATCCAACAGTTATATCTGTAGAGTGATGTGTGTTTACACAGATTAATACAGGTCACTTTCAAAAGAACACATGCATACATGCTAACACACACACACACACACACACACACACATACACACACACACACACACATACACACACACACACACACACACACACACACACACACACACACACACACACACACACACACACACACACAGGCAGGAAACACCACATGGCTTCTGATAAAAAAAAATTCACACTTCTTTCATACTGAGCTATATGTGAACATGACTAACACCAGCAGCAGCACTGCTGATACTGAGAAAAGGTTACCCATAGTAACAGTACAGAAAGACCCTTAAACCTCATCATCATCCTTCCCCTCTAATCAGGGACTGATTCAGGCATGAAATACTCATATCCAATATACCACTAATCAATCAATTGATTGATCGATCAGTCGATCAATTAACCCATCAATTAATCAGCTATCAGGGAATAAAGAAAACAGCACTACGGCAAACCTTGAGGCCCCTAGTATAAACTTCGGAGCCAATCAAGGACGGCAGGGGCAGGGCCCCACCACTTATGAGAATCAGCCGGTGATGGGTGACATGCCTGTGGGCTAATCGGGGCGGGGCAATTTGTGAAGAGACGTCCAGAATTGACTTAATGTAATGTTGTAACTTTAGTTTGTCTAAACGTGGTACAGTGAAAGTGAAAACAAAATGGACGAGACTTACTGTAGTCAAGCTCAATGATTTTCTTTATTCATTTTGCCAGAAGTTGCAGAAGACATTTACTGTAAGTGCTTTAAAGTCTCCTATGGAGTCTGATACAAAGGCTAGTACAAACATCTTAATAATCACTATTTCAGGTAGTCAGGATGAGGTTTGTATGTAACATCCACCAATGAACCAATTAACTTAATACAATAAAAGCTTTAAACACTGAAAACACATTGTTTGGCTTTATTTACTTTAAGAAGGATAAGCAGCCTGGCTGTTTGATTTAAATCCTATTTAGGGACAATTACTCAAGATCAACATAGATTTTCTTAATTAATAATTGGCTTCTTAAAAATGTTGCAATTCAGGTTACTCTTGGGGGGTTTGATACTCTCTAGTTTGTACACAACATCGCACCAAAGGTGTTCATCATTTTCTTTCTTCATCACGGCAGTAACTTTGAACACTTCATACGGTGGAATCAACACCTCCTTTTCATGATTCCCCATGTTGGGGTAGGACTTCAGATTAGCGGAAAAACATGTATTTATGTCAAAGCAAGACTTGTCTCCAAATTTTTTTTAAATTCCCTTCTCAAGAGAGCTGGAGGCAAAGAAGCCAAATCTGATTATTTTGTTAACTTCACCTCCAAACTCCATGTTGGTTCTCCGGTATGTGGTGTGACAGGTCTGTTGGTTTAGTTTCAGGAGGCAAATGGCGTCAGTCAGCAGGAAATGCAGGGAGTGGAACTGGAAGGAGGTTGTGTACTCTGTTCTATTGGTCCGGACTGCTTGGTTGAACACTGGGTATATCTTAGGGGAACCTGCTGTGTAAGCACAGATAGCCTTGATATGATCATGTGTAAGTTTGTCTTTAGAATTGGACTTGGCCTTTCTTGCACATTTTTCTGCATTCATCCAGGCTTGTTTGAAGATCCCTTCCCTGTTGTTTTCATGTTCCAGATATTCCTTCTGCACCTTGTTGTACATTTGTTCAGTGCAGCCGTTATACATGTCGTCAAGGGAGTTAGGGACCATGTCTAAGGGTTTGGGGGAATTGAGACCAAGTTGACGGAGATGAACCTTCAGAGAATTGGTCGAAAAAAAACAGGTACAAAGTGTAAGAGGGATTTTTTATATGTATTTAAATTATCTTTCTCTCTCTCTCACGCTCTCCCTCTCTCTCTCTCTCTCTCTCTCTCTCACATTTTATATAAAACAAATCGAACAAATTAACAAACACATATCTAATACAAAAATGTAATACAAAACTGTAATATTGTAATACCCTTTCTCTCTCTCTCTCTCTCTCTCTCTATTTGAAGATACAGAATCAGCATTGAAATGTTTAACTTTCAGGGAGTGTTTTTATGCCAGTGATCTTATGGTAATTTTCACAGTCCCTCCTCTCTTGCTGAGAACAAGCTCCTACAGGCACAAGTACCCATCAAACCACAAACCCCTTAGCACAGTACACACACACACACACACACGCACACACACACACACACACACACACACACACACACACACACACACACACACACACACACACACACACACACACACACACACACACACACACACACACACACACACACACACACACACACACACACACACACACACACACACACACACATAGATAGCCTAGTGGTTATGAGCATTGGGCCAGTAATTGAAAAGTTGCTGGTTCATGTCCCCCAGCCAGCCAGGTGGAAAAATCTGCCATTCTCCCCGGTTGCCGATGACGTTGATTAAGGTAGCCCCCTGCACCTCTCTGATTCAGAAGGGTTGGGTTAAATGTGGAAGACACATTTTGGTTGAATGCATTCAGTTGTGCAACTGACTAGGTATCCCCCTTTCCCTTCACATACTCACACACATACAGTGTGATGCCTAGTTGGGACAAAATCCTGCAGTACCTGATGCCCTCCACAAATAGTGTTGATTTCCTCTGGCCTAGTCTAAGCTTTGTCTGCCAATCATTCCTTTATCTGGTTGAGTTAAACACTGCCCTCTTCTGCCCAGAATGCACAGTCAAGACTAAAGGCCTCTGGGTACATTAGTGTGTGTGTTTGCTATTCTGTTGTCTCTCATGCCAATGTCCAGGTTATGATTTAGGCAGTATTCTAATACTACTGGTTATGGTTGTTACCTTTCCTTTGTTATGACTGAGATGTGAGAGGCCTGGTAGGTTAACAGGGTTCCATTCCTTTGTTATGACTGAGATGTGAGAGGTCTGGTAGGTTAACAGGGTTCCATTCCTTTGTTATGACTGAGATGTGAGAGGCCTGGTAGGTTGATAGTGTTCCATCATATTGCGTTCATATGGTGAGGTCTGTCAGATTTGTGGTGGTTACAAATGATAGGAGTTCATGAAAAGGGACAAGGAAAGGAAGGATGCAGATTGAGACTATTGGGATGTGTCCTTAGTGGTTGGGCCACTGACTGTGTAGTTTATGGTGGAGTTCAGCCACTGACTGTGTAGTTTATGGTGGAGTTCAGCCACTGACTGTGTAGGTTATGGTGTAGTCCAGCCACTGACTGTGTAGTTTATGGTGGAGTTCAGCCAAAGACTGTGTAGTTTATGGTGGAGTTCAGCCAAAGACTGTGTAGTTTATGGTGGAGTTCAGCCAAAGACTGTGTAGGTTATGGTGGAGTCCAGCCACTGACTGTGTAGTTTATGGTGGAGTTCAGCCAAAGACTGTGTAGTTTATGGTGGAGTTCAGCCAAAGACTGTGTAGTTTATGGTGGAGTTCAGCCAAAGACTGTGTAGGTTATGGTGGAGTCCAGCCACTGACTGTGTAGTTTATGGTGGAGTTCAGCCAAAGACTGTGTAGTTTATGGTGGAGTTCAGCCAAAGACTGTGTAGTTTATGGTGGAGTTCATCCACTGAATGTGGAGTTTATGGTGGAGTTAAATCACTGACTGTCTAGTTTATGGTGGAGTCAAGCCACTGACTGTGTAGTTTATGGTGGAGTCCAGCCACTGAATGTGTAGTTTATGGTGGAGTCCAGCCACTGAATGTGTAGTTTATGGTGGAGTTCAGCCACTGACTGTGTAGTTTATGGTGGAGTCCAGCCAATGACTGTGTAGTTTATGGTGGAGTCCAGCCACTGTATAGACAGCACCTAATCCAACAGTTATATCTGTAGAGTGATGTATGTTCACACAGATTAATACAGGTCACATTCTAATGCTAATATGCATACACGCAGGAAAACACGCACACACACAGGACGGAAACACCAAATGACTTCCGAGAATTGTTTGTTCACACTTCGTTCATACTGAGCTATATGTGAACATGACTAACAACAGCAGCAGCACTGCTGATACTGATAAAAGGTTCCCCATAGTAACAGTACAGAAAGACCCTTAAACCTCCTCATCATCCTTCCCCTCTAATCAGGGACTGATTCAGGCCTGGAATACTAACTGCCAATATACCAATAATCAATCAATCACCCAGAATAAAGGAAAGCAGCACTACAGTGAAGCTTGAGGCCCTTAGTCCAGGGTTTCCCAACCCTCTCCTCAGGGACTACCAGACGTTTCACATTTTTGTTTTAGACCTAAACTGGCACACCTGATACAGTCTACTAACCATCAACCCCTTGACTAATTGATGCTGGTGTGCCAGTCTGGTTGTTCCAGAGGAGAGGGTTGGGAAGTACTGTGCCTAATATACAACCCTGGTCCTGGAGTGCTGCAGGAACTTTATGTTTTGGATTTAACCGACCAGGCAGACCAGGTGTGTTGAAGTTTGTCAATCATTCAACCGATCATTTAGTTCAGTTGGTCTGGTGTGGAGCCTAGTTGGGACAACACCCTGCAGTACCTGCAGCACTCCAGTAACGGGGTTGCTTACCCCTGGCCTAGACTAAGCTTAGTCTGCCAATCACTTCTTCAGCAGGTTGAGTGAAATACTGCCCACTTCTGGCTGCTGTGAGGAATGCACCATGTCAAGACACTAAAGTAGTGTTTCCCAAACTTGGTCCTTGGGACCCCAAAGGGTGAACGTTTTGGTTTTTGCCCTAGCACTACACAGCTGATTAAACTAATCATCAGGCTTTGATAAGTTGAAACAGCAGTGTATTGTTCGTGCAAAAACCAAACCGTGCACCCCTTGGGGTCCCGAGGACCGAGATTGGGAAACGCTGCACTAAAGGCTTTTTGGTACATTATTGTGTGTTTTGTTTTCAGTGGTCTCTCATGCCAGTGTCCAGGGTATGATTTAGACAGTGTCCCAATATTCTAATACTACTGGTTATGGTTGTTACCTTTACTTTGTTATGACTGAGATGTGAGAGGACTGGTAGGTTGATAGTGTTCAATTACTTTGTTATGACTGAGATGTGAGAGGCCTGGTAGGTTGACAGGGTTCCATTCCTTTGTTATGACTGAGATGTGAGAGGCCTGGTAGGTTGACAGCGTTCCATCATATTGCGTTCATATGGTGAGGTCTGTCAGATTTGTGGTGGTTACAAATGATAGGAGATAATGAAAAGGGACAAGGAAGGGAAGGACGCAGATTGAGACTATTGGGATGTGGCCTTAGTGGTTAGGCCACTGACTGTGTAGTTTATGGTGGAGTTCAGTCACTGTCTGTGTAGTTTGTATTCTAGTCCATTCACTGACTGTGTAGTTAATGTTGGAGTCAACAATAATCAATCAATAACCCAGAATAAAGGAAAGCAGCACTAGAGTGAGGCTTGAGGTCCTTAGTCCAGGGTTTCCCAACCCTCTCCTCAGGGACCATCAGACGTTTCACATTTTAGTTTTAGCCCTAAACTGACAAACCTGATACAGTCTACTAACCATCAACCCCTTGACTAATTGATGCAGGTGTGCCAGTCTGGTTGTTCCAGAGGAGAGGGTTGGGAAGTACTGCGCCTAGCAGGCAACCTTGGTCCTGGAGTGCCGCAGGAACTTTATGTTTTGGATTTAACCGACCAGGAAGACCAGGTGTGTTGAAGTTTGTCAATCACTGAACCGATCATTTAGTTCAGTTGGTCTGGTGTGGAGCCTAGTTGGGACAACACCCTGCAGTACCTGCAGCACTCCAGTAACGGGGTTGCTTACCCCTGGCCTAGACTAAGCTTTGACTGCCAATCACTTCTTCAGCAGGTTGAGTGAAATACTGCCCACTTCTGGCTGCTGTGAGGAATGCACCATGTCAAGACACTAAAGCAGGGTTTCACAAGATCGGTGCTCGGGACCTTAAAGGCCCGTTTTGGTTTTTGACCTACAGCCACTGACTGTGTAGTTTGTTGGAGTCCAGCCACTGACTGTGTAGTTTATGTTGGAGTCCAGCCACTGACTGTGTAGTTTATGGTGGAGTCCAGCCACTGACTGTGTAGTTTATGGTGGAGTCCAGCCACTGTATAGACAGCACCTAATCCAACAGTTATATCTGTAGAGTGATGTGTGTTCACACAGATTAATACAGGTCACATTCTAATGAACACATGCATACACACACACACACACACACTCTTTTGTCTTCATAACACGGAAATAAGTCACATGAATAACAGTGTTTGTTCAGCAGGAAGTTGCCATTGATAAAGATCGTTCAGAATGTCAACACTCGTTATTTACCAAGAGAGGAAAGGAGAGAGAAAAGGTGTGTTTCACCATCACCCTGTTCAATACAGAGACATTTTATTAGTCCACCATCACCCTGTTACTGCTTCAATACAGGGACATTATATTAGTCCACCATCACCCTGTTACTGCTTCAATACAGGGACATTATATTAGTCCACCATCACCCTGTTACTGCTTCAATACAGGGACATTATATTAGTCCACCATCACCCTGTTACTGCTTCAATACAGGGACATTTCATTAGTCCACCATCACCCTGTTACTGCTTCAATACAGGGACATTATATTAGTCTACCATCACCCTGTTACTGCTTCTATACAGGGACATTTTATTAGTCTACCATCACCCTGTTACTGCTTCAATACAGGGATATTATATTAGTCCACCATCACCCTGTTACTGCTTCAATACAGGGACATTATATTAGTCTACCATCACCCTGTTACTGCTTCAATACAGGGACATTTTATTAGTCCACCATCACCCTGTTACTGCTTCAATACAGGGACATTTTATTAGTCCACCATCACCTTGTTGCTGTGTCGAAACAGCGGGAGGCTAGAGAAGGAGGATACATTGGCACACACACAATCACAGATTTCTACAGATTCTAAAGTGGGGGTCAATGTTCTCTGAAGAACGTTGGAGAACAGAATCTTGGATGTCTGCATTCCAGCAACATTCAGCAATCGTTATGATGTGTTTGGAAAAAATGGTTCCGTTGTTGTACTTCTGACCTGTGTCACTAAAGTTACAATAACTTATGTTGTGTTATAAACTGGTTGGTTCCAGCCCTGAATGCTGATTGGCTGACATCCATGGTATATGACATAATAAACTGGGTGGTTCGAGCCCTGAATGCTGAATGGCTGACCGCCAGACAGTATACCACGGGTATGACAAAACGTGTTTTTACTGCTCTGATTACGTTGGTAACCAGTTTATAATTTATAACAGCCAATATACCACGGCTAAGGTCTGCATTGCGTCGTGCCTAAGAACAGCCCTTAGCAGTGGTATTTACATTTTAGTCATTTAGCAGACGCTCTTATCCAGAGCGACTTACAGTTAGTGAGTGCATACATTATTTTTTTATTTTTCATACTGGCCCCTCATGGGAATCGAACCCACAACCCTGGCGTTGCAAACGCCATGCTCTAACAACTGAGCTACATCCCTGCCGGCCATTCCCTCCCCTACCCTGGATGACGCTGGGCCAAATGTGCGCCGCCCCATGGGTCTCCCGATCACGGCCGGCTATGACAGAGCCTGGATTCGAACCAGGATCTCTAGTGGCACAGCTAGCACCGCGATGCAGTGCCTTAGACCACTGCGCCACTCGGGAGACGGTATATTGGCCATATACCACACCCCCTCGGGCCTCATTACTTAATTATACCACATCATACAGTATTGCTAGTGCTACAAAATCTAGCAAAGGTGAAACACGTTAACAGTGCTTCCTGGGTTAAGAACTGAGGTCCTGTTTCGCTTAGCTGATATACATGTGTCCCTAACAATGTATGGGTGGTGGGTTCGATTCCCTCAGGAGTCACATAACCTATTCTAAAGATGTATGCACACACTGTAGTTTAAATGGCTTAGAATTAAAGCAGTTGCTAAATGGCTACTGAACAAATATAAAATGCAACATTTTACTGAGTTACAGTTCATGTAAGGAAATCAGTCAATTGAAATAAATTCATTAGGCCCTAATCTATGGATTTCACATGACTGGGAATACAGATGTGCATCTGTTGGTCCCAGATACCTTTTTTTTTTTTTTTTTTTTTGTAGGGGCGTGGATCAGAAAACCAGTCAGTATCTGGTGACAACCATTTGCCTCATATTGTGCGACATCTCCTTCACATTGCTCAGGCTGTTGATTGTAGCCTGTGGGAAAAATGTCCCTCTCCTCTTCAATGATTCTGTGAAGTTGCTTGATATTGGAGGGAACTGGAACAGGCTGTCGTACACGTCGATCCAGAGCATCCCAAATATGCTCAATGGGTGACATGTCTGGTGAGTATGCAGCCCATGGAAGAACTGGGACATTTTCAACTTCCAGGAATTGTGTACAGATCCTTGCAACACGGGGCCGTGCATTATCATGCTGAAACATGAAAGAAGGCGGCGGATGAACGGCACGACTATGGGCCTCAGGATCTCGTCACGATATCTCTGTGCATTGAAATTGCCATCGATAAAATGCAATTGTGTTCGTTGTCCGAAGCTTATGCCTGCCCATACCATAACCCCGCCGCCACCATGGGGCACTCAATTCACAACGTTGACATCAGCAAACTGCTCGCCCACACGACGCCATACACGCTGTCTTCAATCTGCCCGGTACAGTTGAAACAGGGATTCATCTGTGAAGAACACACTTCTCCAACGTGCCAGTGGCCATCGAAGGTGAACATTTGCCGACTGAAGTCGGTTACGACGCCAAACTGCTGTTGAGGATGACGAGCATGCAGATGAGCTTCCCTGAGAACTTTTCATCAGCTGTCCAGGTGGCTGGTCTCAGACGATCCCTCAGATGAATAAGTCGGATGTGGAGGTCCTGGGCTGGCGTGGTTACACGTGGTCTGCGGTTGTGAGGCCGGTTGGACATACTGCCAAATTCTCTAAAACGACGTTGGAGGCAGCTTATGATAGAGAAATTAGCATTCAATTCTCTGGCAACAGCTCTGGTGGACGTACCTGCAGTCAGTATGCCAATTACACGCTCCCTCAAAACTTGAAACATCTGTGGCATTGTGTTGTGTGACAAAACTGCACATTTTAGAGTGGCCTTTTATTATCCCCAGCACAAGGTCCACCTGTGTAATGATCAAGCTGTTTAATCGGCTTCTTGATATGCCATACCTGTCAGGTGGATGGATTATATTGGCAAAGGAGAAATGCTCACTAACAGGGATGTAAACACATTTGTGCACAACAATTGAGAGTCATAAGCTTTTTGTGCAGATGGAAAATGTCTGATATTTTCTTTTTCAGCTCATGAAACATGGGACCAACACTTTATATGTTGCGTTGATATTTCTGTTCAATATATTAACAGACTTCTGTTAAAGACAATCATGAAAAAACAGCATATTTTGGAGACGGTTATCACCTACAGTACCAATCCTGATTCAACCGTTGTCTGTAGACTAAAATATGTAGCAATACTGTATATCACGTTTCACTTTCATGTGGTGCTATGCGAAAAGGTACTGTATGATGTTGTGTTGTCAAGGCTACAGCCATGATTCTTCACTCTGTTCCTGATGTTGTGTTGTCAAGGCTAAAGCCATAATTCTCCACTCTGTTCCTGATGTTCTGTTGTCAAGGCTACGACCATGATCCTCCACTCTGTTCCTGATGTTGTGTTGTCAAGGCTACAGCCATGATTCTCCAATCTGTTCCTGATATTGTGTTGTCAAGGCTACAGTCATGATTCTCCACTCTGTTCCTGATGTTGTGTTGTCAAGGCTACAGCCATGATTCTCCAATCTGTTCCTGATGTTGTGTTGTCAAGGCTACAGCAATGATTCTCCAATCTGTTCCTGATGTTGCATTGTCAAGGCTATAGCCATGATTCTCCACTCTGTTCCTGATGTTGTGTTGTCAAGGCTACAGTCATGATTCTCCAATCTGTTCCTGATGTTGCGTTGTCAAGGCTGGGAGTCTATTTGTGTATTTTATTTGATTTAACCTTTATTTATACAGGTTATTCTCGTTGGGATATATTTTACAATATAGACCTGTTGTAATTTGTACCAGTACTGTGCTTTTCCATCTGGCTCCACGTCAACATCTTTACATGGCTGTTAGTCTGTTTGTTTGTATCTTGTACCAGTACTGTGCTGTTTCTGTGGAAGTTTGTTTGGCATGCTGTGACTCATGCAGGGATTGTTCCATCATAACCCCTGTGAGAAATAAGACAGAGAAATAAAACTATGAAAAATAAACAAAAAAACTATGAAAATCAAAACAAGGGGGAGAAACTGTCACCACTGGTGAAACTTACTCATCTGGGAAAGAGTCACCTACTCATCTCCCTCTTCAAACAAAATGTGTTATTTCTATTAAATAGCTCTTCAAACAAACAATAAAGGTGGATTCATTTAGGATGAATGGCTTTGGATGATGTTTGTGTTGCATGTGTTACCTGTGTTAGTGTCGTTGTAGGTGGAACTATCTGGAGGTGGTTTCAATAAACCAGGGATAGTTTCACTCAGCCCGTTTCTCTCTCTCTCTCTCTCTCTCTCGCTCGCTCGCTCTCTTGCTCTCTCTCTCTCTCCTTCCTCTCGCTCTCCCTCTCCTCTCTCTCCTCTCTCTCTCCCTCTCCCCGTCCCTCTCGTCCTCCTCCTCTCTCTCTCCTCTCTCTCCTCTCCCTCTCCTCTATCTCTCCCTACTCTCTCTCTCTCTGTATTTTAAAGGTTCTTGTCCTTTCTGGACATCTGTAGCATCCTGTTACTGTTAATGATTAATTCTAATTCTATGTTTCCTTCCGCCTGAACATTGACAGGAAATGGGAGTGACCTGATTGCCATGGAAATGAATGGTTACAGCAAATGACAATGGATCAATAAGTAACCTGACTGGGTAATTGTGTCAGAACAGTGGAAGGCCAAAGAATGAGAGTCTGTTGGTTCACTCTCTCATATATATCACTTCAGGGTGAATCCTAACTTCAACTGAAGTTCAATTTCCACTTAGTCTCCCAATGACATCAATGCGTTACTAAGTAAACATTTTGAATTAAGTGGAAGTTAGGATTCGCACCCTGTGTTGAAACAGTGGAAGGCCAGAAAAGGATACATTGGCTCGCACACACACACACACACACACACACAATGAGACATCTAAAACGGTGGAGGCTGCTGAGGGGAGGACGGCTCATAATAATGGCATGTGTTTGATATCATTCCATTGACTCCGTTCCAGCCATTATTATGAGACGTCCTCCCCTCACCAGCCTCCACTGATCTAAAGGTACATACACAATACACATTCACTCTCCTCCTGTGAATTGCTAAATGATGCTTCTCTTATTGAGCTTATTGTTATTAGATACATCACTTCGCATGTGTCCCAAATGGCACCCTATTCCTTAAATAGTGCACTACTTTTGACCAGGGCTCATATATAAGGAAAAGGGTGCCATTTGGAACACAGCATTCATGTGCATTGTAGTCAGACGTCCTCAATGCTGACAGTAAGGCCTCCCCCACTGTCCTCCCACTGCTCTGACACACACACACAAGTAAACACGTACACACACAGCCCTCCTCCTCCTGTGTATCTGGAGGAGTGTTCTGGTTGGGAATTGGTAATTGTGTCAGAACAGTGGAAGGCCAAAGAATGAGAGTCCGTTGGTTCACTCTCTCATATACATCACTTCAGGGTGAATCCTAACTTCAACTGAAGTTCAATTTCCACTTAGTCTCCCAATGACATCAATGCGTTACTAAGTAAACATTTGAATTAAGTGGAAGTTAGGATTCGCACCCTGTGTTGAAACAGTGGAAGGCCAGAAAAGGATACATTGGCTCGCACACACACACACACACACACACACAATGAGACATCTAAAACGGTGGAGGCTGCTGAGGGGAGGACGGCTCATAATAATGGCATGTGTTTGATATCATTCCATTGACTCCGTTCCAGCCATTATTATGAGACGTCTGTTACGGAGTCTAGTTGATAGGTAATCGACTAGTTGGACTGTTCCCCAGACTCCACGCGTAGGGATTTGTACAAGGCTTAACAAGGCTATTGAACTGAACATTGGTGTCTGTCTTTATTCCTTAATCCAACATATCATACAGAAACATGGTATCAGAAGTGGCTCGGAAAACACACGTTTGTTATTTTTGTAGCTAAGTACAGTATAGGCGCAGTTACGTTCCATATGCGAACACAAGCCGTTTCCTACTCACAACACTGATCAACTCGTGTTAGCTGGCTAGCTAGCATCACTACCTACCTCCATGACTGAAGACAAAGAAATCTCCTATTCCATTGCTATGGCAGCGAACATTCCGCCACCAAATCACATGGTTCTCACAGGGGACTGGAATACTAATTGGGACAACTTCAGGGATGAATTCGAGGACTATGCGCTGGCGACCGGTCTACATGAGAAACCCAACGAGGTACAAGCGGCAACTCTGAGGAGTTTAATGGGCAGCGAATGCAGGCATATCTACCGGCACAATTTCACCCTCACGGCACGACAACAGTGTGATGCAAAGGCTATATTGGATGCATTGGAGAATTACTTCAAACCCGCCAGAAACGTAATTTACGAGCGGTTCGTTTTCGGAAGCTGCAAACAGGAAGAGGGTGAGTCAGTACACAACTTTGTAACCCGTTTGAGAGAGAAATCCGCCACTTGTGAATACGGGGGATTGAAAGATGAACTGATTCGTGACAAAATAGTACTGGGAATTGCAAATGAGAATACGCGCCGGCGTCTACTGAGAGAGAGAGGCTTAACATTAGTAACTGCCATCGAAATGTTCCGCACTGCTGAAGTCACTGACATGAGAATGAGAGCAATGGAAACGGAAACCCCACGCTCCGACGTTGATACTGTTCACGCTGTTGCTAGGCAGACATTCAGACAAAACCAATCGAGGCAGAGTAATTCACCACGAACGGTGAACACAGAGAGCCCCGTAGCATGTAAATACTGTGGGAATACACACACACGTGGCAAAGAGCACTGCCCGGCCTATGGAAAACCATGCAGAGCTTGTGGAACTAATAATCACTTTGCAAAAGTGTGTCTCAAAAGCAAAAGAAGGGTGAGTGAGGGCAAGATTCACTGTGTTGATGATGTTACTCAATGTTCAGAGCTGAACAGTGAAAGTGACATTTACATGCATGAATCCATTGGGGCTGTACACTCAAGAGGGAAGAAATGGTTTGTGACACTACGATTACACAACAAGCAACAACAATGTCAACTGGATTCGGGTGCTACATGCAACGTAATGAGCTACAAAGACAAAATCAATCTGGCACCTGACACACATCTATTTCCCAGCGATACTAGACTAAAGCTGTACTCAGGAGAACTAATGAGCTCTATGGGCACCTTTGAGACCGAATGTGTTATTCGGGGACGCAAACACAAGCTGGAGTTCGAGATTGTGAAAACCAGTCAAAATCCTCTCCTCTCAGGCTCTACATGCGAACGCCTGGGACTGATGCAGTTCACTGTACCAAATGACCTGCACATTGTGGATCATGTCCAGCATGGACCCCTGTCCAAAGAACAACTACTCAGCAGATATGACGATGTATTCAACATGCCCGTTGAATCAGTGCCTGGGGAGGTACACTTTGAAGTGGATGAGAGCATTACTCCAGTCCAGTGTGCTCCTCGCAATGTGCCCATTGCAATGAAAGTGGCTGTGAAGGCCCAGCTGGACAAGTATGAGGCCGATGGCCACATGACATCTGTGACTGAACCAACTGACTGGATCAGCAATATGGTCATAGTGAAAAAACCAGAGAAGCTGAGGGTCTGCATCGACCCAAAGCATCTGAACCAAGCACTGAAACGATCCCACTACATCATGCCGACACTAGAGGATGTCCTCTATAAGCTTCCCAGGCCAGGATTTTCACCTTGGTGGATGCCCGAGATGCATTCCTTCAATGCAAGCTGGACGAAGAAAGCAGCTTCATGACTACCTTCTGGACCCCCTGGGGGTCGGAAACGCTGGCTCAAGCTCCCGTTTGGTGTCTCAGTGGCGCCTGAGGTATACCAACGCAAGCAGCACGAGTTACTGGCTGGGCTCAAGGGCATTGAACCCATCGCCGATGATATCCTGATCGTAGGCTGTGGTGAAACAGACGAAGAAGCAGAACGCGACCACGATGTGAAGCTCCTGGCACTGATGGAGCGCTGCCGATCAGTTAAGCTTCGTCTTGGCCTGAAGAAGCTGCAGTTCAAGGTGAAAGACGTCCACTTCCATGGCCACATTCTCTCGGCAAAAGGCCTGAAGCCGGACCCAGACAAGGTCCAAGCGATCCTCGACATGCCAAACCCGTCTGATGCAAAAGGAGTACAGCGTCTCATCGGCTTTGCAAAACTATCTTGCAAAGTTCATGCCACACCTATCAGCAGTCTGTGAGCCTCTGCGCCGGTTGCTGGACAAAGACACACCATGGCACTGGCTACCCAAGCACGAGGCCGCAGTGCAGGAGATGAAATCTCTGGCTTCATCCATGCCAGTGTTGCGCTACTACGACGTCACGAAGCCTGTCACAATCCAGAGCGACTCTAGCCAAAGGGGACTTGGATGCTGCCTTATGCAGGAAGGCCAGCCCGTTGCGTTTGCCTCGAGAGCGCTCACCCCCACCGAACAAAACTATGCACAAATTGAGAAAGAGTGCCTCAGCATCGTCTTCTCCTGTCAGCGATTCCATCACTACTTATATGGTCGAGAGCTGGTCACCGCTGAAACTGACCACAAACCACTCATTGCCATATTCAGTAAACCTCTCCTCAACGCGCCCAAGAGGCTTCAAAGTATGCTCCTGACTCTGCAAAACTACAGCCTGAAGGTCATTTACAAGCCAGGACCTGAGATGTACATCAGCGACACACTGAGCAGGGCAACAGCACAATGTACAGGTAGAGGCACTGCCTATCAGCGGCAGGCCATCTGTTCGCTACAGCAGGAACAACAAGATGTTCAACAGATCAATCAGGCAGACTACTTAAACGTGACAGATCACCGCCTAGCCCAGATCAGGCAACATACTGACAAGGACGAACACCTACAGTCACTGAAGTCCATGGCTCTAGCAGGTTGGCCATATCTGAAAGAGGAGACACCTTTCACAGTGAGAGAATACTGGACCTTTCGAGATGAGATCAGTGTGCAAAATGGCGTCTTGTTCAGAGGTCAGAAGGTCATTATTCCCAAATCACTACGTCCAGAGATGCTTACCCGCATACACTCCAGTCACGTCGGAGGTGACGCATGCTACCGTCAGGCTCGTGAAACATTATACTGGCCAAACATGCAAGCAGAAATTAAAGACTTTGTCAGCAACTGTACCACATGCAACGAGTACGCTCATGAACAGCAAAAGGAAACCATGATGTCACACGAAACTGCCCACAAGGGCCTGGCAAATCATCAGCATGGACTTATTCAGCCACAGACAAAAGGGACTATCTTCTCCTCGTTGATCATTACTCTGACTTTTGGGAAATTGAACTGCTCCCTGACTTGTCCGCAGAGACGGTCATAAAGCGCTGCAAGGCGCAGTTTGCAAGGCAAGGTCAGCCTGACAAGGTAATCACGGACAATGGCCCACAATTCACTGCACAGTTCAAGCGTTTCGCCTCAGAATGGGAGTTTGACCACGTGACCTCCTCTCCAAAGACACCCAAAAGCAAATGGCAAGGCAGAATCAGCTGTCAAGATTGCAAAAAACCTGTTAAGCAGGGCCTTGCGCGACAGCAACGACCCATGGAAAGCGATCTTACAGTGGAGGAACACACCCACCGAAAACATGGACAGCAGCCCAGCACAACGCCTTCTGTCCAGACGTCTGAAGACTACTATCCCCGTAGCTAACAAGCTACTTGAGCCCTGCGTCATGGTTGGCGTCACGGACAAACTGCGTCACAGAAAGCAGCTCGCTAAGTGCTTCTACGACCGGACTGCTCGAGACCTACCAGAGCTGGAGGTGGGTGAAACTATAAGGATGAAACCGCTGCCGGGAGACCACACAGGACTTTGGAGGCTGGGCACAATGCCTACAGAGAGTTGCACACGTTCTTACCTGGTGGATGTTGGTGGCTCCCTCTATCGTCGCAATCGGGTGGATCTGCGCGTAGCAGAGCAGACAAACCAGAAACATGCCATACACTCACTTAGATGAGCTGGATCACAGTCCAGGCCTAAGGGTAAGGGGTGCAGAATTGAGACATGAGCCAACTGAAGGTGAAGCTTCTACCCCACCAAACTCTCCAGCTCGTGGCCCTAATCCTACCCCTGTCAGAGCCAATACTTACTCACGGGTGGGTCGGCTGTGCAAGCCACCGGACAGGCTTACTCTGTAAGCAAGAGACTTAACTTGTTGTCTGTTAATAAAAAAAAATAAAAAAAAAATTTTTAAAAAAAAGGGAAAGAGCCAGTGAAAGAAAAAGGGTTTTCCCAATTGTTATGCTTGACAAAACCAATGAAAACCGGTTTTTCCCCACTTTCTTTTGAAAGGATTGTTGGATTTTGTAGGAATGACTAGGGAGTCCCCGACCCCAAACGGTGGGTTTTGTGGTTTTTTGGGGTATTGTTAAATTTGGGCTTTGCACCTTAACCAAAATCAACCCGAAACAACCCTCCCTCCCTCACCACCCTCCACGAAAAAGGGAATCACAAACACAAAAAACTTCTTTGAATTCAAAATGTCTTTCATTGATTTTTGTTTTAGATAAATAATTCCCTTCCCCCAAATGGACCCTTTACCTTAAATAGTCCCATTTTTGAACCCCAAATAAAGGAAAAGGGTGCATTTGGAAACCCCCCTTCATTATTTACAGAGTCCTCAATGTACAGTAACCCCCCCCTGTCCTCCCTGTTGCAAAAAACCACAAACCCAAAGAAAAACTTTTAACCAAATCCTCCCGGGAGGGGGGAGGGGGGGAAGCGGGAGGAAAGGGAAAGAGGAGGGGGGGTTTTGAAAAAGGTGGGAAAAGGGGAAAGGAAAAAAAGGAAAAAAACAAAAGGATAGGGAAAAGAAAAAAAGGAAAATAAAAGGGAACAACAGGAAAGAAAAAAAAACGGGAAGGGGAAGAACAGGCAAAGGGAAAAAACAAATGTAAAAAAAAGGGGGAAAAAAAAAAAAAAGGGGGAAAAAGGGGGGTTTTTTAAAAAACGGGTTTAAAAGAAGGAAAGGGGGGGGGAAAGGAAAAAAAGAAAGGAAGAAACCAAAAGAGGAGGGGGAAAGGGATTTTTTTTAAAAAAAAACCCCAAATTTAAAAGACCCCCAAGGGGGGAAACCCCGGGGGGGGGAAAAAGGGGGGGGCGGGGAAGGAAAAAGGGGCAAGAAAAGGAGAAAAAAGGAGACAAAAAAAAGAGAGAGGAGAGAGAGAGAGAGAGAAGAGAAAAAGAGAGAGAAGAGAGAGAGGGAGAGAGAGAGAGGGAGAGAGAGAGAGAGAGAGGAGAGAGAGAGAGAGGAGAGAGAGAGAGAGAGAGAGAGGAGAGAGAGAGAGAGAGAATACAGACAGAGTGTTTTCTTTAAAAGAGTTGTGGTGTAGAGACAGAACCAAACGACAGACATATTGAAAGGGTGATAGAGTTTTCCTAAAAACAGTTGTAGTCCCTAGATTAGCTCGTAGAACCATAAGCTACCCAACAGCCTTGTCTCTCTTAGGCTGTGGTAATTAGAGAACTTCTCCACCTCTCTCCTTGAACCCTCAAGGCCGTGTACGCTGCCATGCAGACTTCCTTCCTCTTGATGGCGCTGTCCCTGTCCCTGCCAGGGGGCACCCAGGCCTTCAAACCCCTCATCTCAGCAGGGGGCTCTGTTACACACCGTGACATCACACAGAGGGCTGTCTTACGCAAAACCGCCGAGGTCTGTCGCGCCCTGTCCGTCGCCCAGGGGAGGGACTTCAGCCTGCCGGTGAGTTGGCTATTGGTGAAAGTTGTGACAGACAGGTAATGAACTGATGTTTTTGTAATTGGTTCTATAAGACAGCAATGAATGTACTAGTATATACAGTGCTGCTTGAAAGTATGTGAACCCCTTGTGCAATTACAGATTTCTTCAGTTTTTACCAGGAAATCTTCATTTAATTAGAACCAGTCTTTTTGATCTGACATAACAGGTTTATATTTACCAATACCATATGTTGGTGTAGATAAGTAATGCGTGTGGTAGAAAAACAAAATTAAAAAAGGAATTAGTGCAGGTGCAAAAATAAGTGAACCCCAAGTTGCATTGGTTAAATCAAGTAGGTAAGTAGAATCAGGTGGGTAAATTATTAGCTACCAAATTAACCATTCAAAGGAGAGATCGTTAGGAAAGAGTTTGGGCGGGACTCTGAAAAATAGAGATACGAAACCCGGTCAGTTTGGTGTTACCCATCTAGGTAAATGCACACAAAAGCACACCATGCCGAGAGGAAAGGAGCTCTCAGAGGACATCAGGATGAGGGTAGTGAGAGCACATCAGTCTGGGGAAGGCAATAAAGTCATCTCAAAAAGATTTGAGCTCTATCAGTCCACTGTGAGGCAAATCATTTACAAATGGAGAGCATTTAACATGACAGCAACTTGGCCTAGAAGTGGACGCCCTTCCAAAATATCCCCAAGAGCCACAAGAACAATAATAAATCAGGTAAAAGCCAGCCCAAACATAACATCTAGAGATTTGCAGACCTCCCTTGCTGCATCTCAGGTAACTTTGCGTGCTTTAACAGTAAGAAATGCCATTCATGGGAGGGTTGCTAGGAAGAAGCCTCTGCTGTCAAAAAAGAACAAACTGCCCGTTTTAACTTTGCCAGAGACCACCTGGACAAACCTGAAGGATTCTGGAAGTCCATTCTCTGGACCGATGAGTTCAAAATTGATGTTTGGCAAAAAGCCAACACTGCCTACCACTAAAATAACCTTAACCCAACGGTCAAGCATGGTGGTGGGAATGTCATGATATGGGGCTGCTTTTCCTCCTCTGGACCTGGACGACTCCACATCATTAAGGGAACCATGAATTCTGAGGTATACCAGGAGATCCTTGAACAGAACATCATGCCATCAGTCAAGGAGCTAAAGCTGGGCAGAAAATGGATCTTCCAACAAGACAACGACCCAAAGCATTCAAGCAAATCTACCAAAGAATGGCTCAGGAGAAAGAAGATTTGTGTTTTGGATTGGCCAAGTCAAAGTCCTGACCTATAACCAATCGAGATGCTGTGGCAGGACCTGAAACGGGCAGTTCATGCCAGACACCACTCAAACCTCACTCAAATAGCTGAGTTCTGTAAGGAGGAGTGGGCAAAAATCCCTCAAAACAGATGTCAGAGACTTATTACTGGCTATAGGAGACCCTTTGCCTTGATGACAGCTTTGCACACTATTGGCATTCTCTCAACCAGCTTCATGAGGTAGTCACCTAGAATGCTTTTCCAACAGTCTTTCTACAATGTAGAAAATAGTAAAAATAAAGAAAAACTCTGGAATTAGTAGGTGTGCTCAAGCTTTTGACTGGTACTGTATATGTATGTATGTATGTATGTATGTATGTATGTATGTATGTATGTATGTATGTATGTATGTATGTATGTATGTATGTATGTATGTATGTATGTATGTATGTATGTATGTATGTATGTATGTATGTATGTAAAATATATTACAACCACCACCAGTCAAAAGTTTGGACACACCTTGAATAATAGTGAAGACATCAAAACTATGAAATAACACATATGGAATCTATTAGTAACCAAAAAAGTGTTAAACAAATCTAAATATATTTAATATTTGAGATTCTTCAAATAGCCACCCTTTGCCTTGATGACAGCTTTGCACACTCTTGGCATTCTCTCAACCAGCTTCACCTGGAATGCTTTTCCAACAGTCTTGAAGGAGTTCCAACATATGCTGAGCACTTGTTGGCTGCCTTTCCTTCACTCTGCCGTCCGACTCATCCCAAACCATCTCAATTGGGTTGAGGTTGGGTGATTGTGGACGCCAAGTCCTCTTATGCAGCACTCCATCACTCTCCTTCTTGGTAAAATAGCCCTTACACAGCCTGGAGGTGTGTTGTGTCATTGTCCTGTTGAAAAACAAATGATAGTCCCACTAAGCCCAAACCAGATGGGATGGCATATCGCTGCAGAATGTTGTGGTAGCCATGCTGGTTAAGTGTGCCTTGAATTCTAAATAAATCACAGACAGTGTCACCAGCAAAGCACCCACACACCATAACACCTCCTCCTCCATGCTTTACGGTGGGAACTACACATGCGGAGACCATCCGTTCACCCACACCGCGTCTCACAAAGACACGGCGGTTGGAACCAAAATTTTCCAATTTGGACTCCAGAGCAAAGGACACATTTCCACCGGTCTAATGTCCATTGCTCGTGTTTCTTGGCCCAAGCAAGTCTCTTCTTATTATTGGTGTCCTTTAGTAGTGGTTTCTTTGCAGCAATTCGATCATGAAGGCCTAATTCACATAGTCTCCTCTGAACAGTTGATGTTGAGATGTGTCTGTTACTTGAACTCTGTGAAGCATTTATTTGGGCTTCAATTTCTGAGGCTGGTAACTCTAATTAACTTATCCTCTGCAGCAGAGGTAACTTTCAAAGTTCTTGAAATGTTCCGTATTGACTGACCTTCATGTCTTAAAGTAATGATGGACTTTAATTTCTCTTTGCTTATTTGAGCTATTCTTGCCATAATATGGACTTGATCTTTTACTAAATTGGGCTAGCTTCTGTAAACCCCCCCTTCATTGTCACAACACAACTGATTGGCTCAAACGCATTAACAAGGTAATACATTCCACAAATTACCTTTTAAGGCACACCTGTTAATTGAAATGCATTCCAGGTGACTACCTCATGAAGCTGGTTGAGAGAATGCCAAGAGCGTGCAAAGTTGTCATCAAGGCAAAGGGTGGCTATTTGAATATAAAATATATTTTGATTTGTTTAAAACTTTTGGTTACTACATGATTCCATATGTGTTATTTCATAGTTTTGATGTCTTCACTATTATTCTACAATGTAAAAATAAAGAAAAACCCTTGAATGAGTAGGTGTGTCCAAACTTTTGACTGGTTGTTTGTGTGTGTGTGTGTGTGTGTGTGTGTGTGTGTGTATGTATGTGTATATACACTGTATATAAGACATTTTCACCAGTCTGAATGTTTTAGGATTTCATCACATCGTCGTTTCTCTTACTTGTGAGTTTCCTCTACTAACCAATGAATCTCTCTCTCTCTCTCTCTCTCTCTCTCTCTCTCTCTCTCTCTCTCTCTCTCTCTCTCTCTCTCTCTCTCTCTCTCTCTCTCTCTCTCTCTCTCCTCTCTCTCTCTCTCTCTCTCTCTCTCTGTCTCTCTACCTCTGTCTGTCTTTCTCTCTGTCTGTCTCTCTCCGTCCCTTTCTCTCTACAGATTGATGACAGTCTGTCCATATTCAAACTACAGAAGGCCTGCTCTGCAGACTCCTCTTCCTCCCTCGTCTCCACCATCCACTTCCAGAGCACCATCGTCAAGATGTACCTTAGCAATGCCCTGGTGGACATGGCGTTTGCCCTGAGCAAGGTGAGGATGACAATGATGACGACGATGATGGTGGTGATGATGATGATGGTGATGATGATGGTGATAATGATGTGAGCCAGGCGCACCACTTCGACGGTGAGACCTTCCAGGGGGGGCGGGCCCTGATCACGGCGGGGGTGTCGGAAGTCAAGGCCAGCGTCAAACGAGAGAGCTTCCTGTTGGCCAGGCTGGCGCTGGGACGCGTCTGTCACACACTACAGGTGAGGTGTCTGTCACACTACAGGTGAAGGTGTCTGTCACAGTACAGGTGAGTGTGTCTGTCACAATACAGGTGAAGGTGTCTGTCACAATACAGGTGAAGATGTCTATCACAGTACATGTGAAGGTGTCTGTCACAGTACATGTGAAGGTGTCTGTCACAGTACAGGTGAAGGTGTCTGTCAGAGTACAGGTGATGTGTCTGTCACAGTACAGGTGAAGGTGTCTGTCAGAGTACAGGTGAGGTGTCTGTCACAATACAGGTGAAGGTGTCTGTCACAGTACAGGTGAGGTGTCTGTCACAATACAGGTGAAGGTGTCTGTCACAATACAGGTGAAGGTGTCCGTCACAGTACAGGTGAAGGTGTCTGTCACAGTACATGTTTAGGTGTCTATCACAGTACATGTGAAGGTGTCTGTCACAATACAGGTGAAGATGTCTATCACAGTACATGTGAAGGTGTCTGTCACAGTACAGGTGAAGATGTCTATCACAGTACATGTGAAGGTGTCTGTCACAGTACAGGTGAGGTGTCTGTCACAGTACAGGTGAAGGTGTCTGTCACAGTACATGTAAAGATGTCTGTCACAGTCCAGGTGAAGGTGTCTGTCACAGTAGATGTTTAGGTGTCTGTCACAGTACAGGTGAAGGTGTCTGTCACAGTACAGGTGAAGTTGTCTTTCACACTACAGGTGAAGTTGTCTGTCACAGTACAGGTGAGGTGTCTGTCACAGTACAGGTGAAGGTGTCTGTCACAGTACATGTTTAGGTGTCTGTCACAGTACAGGTGAATGTGTCTGTCACAGTACAGGTGAAGGTGTCTGTCACAGTACAGGTGAAGTTGTCTGTCACAATACAGGTGAAGTTGTCTGTCACAGTACAGGTGAGGTGTCTGTCACAGTACAGGTGAAGGTGTCTATCACAGTACAGGTGAAGGTGTCTGTCACAGTACAGGTGAAGGTGTCTGTCACAGTACAGGTGAAAGTCTGTCACACTACAGGTGAAGGTGTCTGTCACACTACAGGTGAAGGTGTCTATCACAATACAGGTGAAGGTTTCTATCACAATACAGGTGAAGGTGTCTATCACAATACAGGTGAAAGTCTGTCACACTACAGGTGAAGGTGTCTATCACAGTACAGGTGACACAGACACAAGCACGCATGCACACATACTACAGGTGAGAGAGGGAGATGATGAAGACTGAGTTAATTGTACTGATACTGTTGAGTTGATTGTACTGATACTGTTGAGTTGATTGTACTGATACTGTTGAGTTGGTTGTACTGATACTGTTGAGTTGATTGTACTGATACTGTTGAGTTGATTGTACTGATACTGTTGAGTTGATTGTGACTGTCTCTCCAGGATTTCTACAGCCACAGTAACTGGGTTGAGATGGGGAACAGACAGCCTTACAGCACTCTGATCAGACCTGACCTGCAACTGGTGAACCTGGCAGGTATTGTGTGTGAAACTCTCTGTAGTTTATTTAAACCACTCCCAGATATATACCCACCTATATCGGCACAATACAGTTAACTACATGCAACACAAACATGTAGCTAAAACACCTACATTATAAAGGCATTTGTTCATAAAATAAGTATTTGGGTGTGTGCCAATGTCAACACTAAACCACTCCCTCCTTGTATCAGTCGACCAACCAGCCTGGAGAGTATAGACTTGTCATCACCTCTACACATACTTCACACCCAATCCACATTCTGTACTCTAACTCCAGTGGGGGAAAAAGTACCCAATTGTCATACTTGAATAAAAGTATAGATACCTTAATAGAAAGTTACTCAAGTCAAAGTAAAAGTCACCCAGTAAAATAATACTTGAGTAAAAGTCTAAAATTATTTAGTTCTAAATATACTTAAGTATCAAAAGTAAATGTAATTGCTAAAATATACTTAAGTATCAAAAGTAAAAGAATAAATAATTTCAAATTCCTTCTATGAAGCAAAGCAGACAGCACCATTTTCTTGTTTTTAAATTGTATGGATAGCCAGGGACACACTCCAACACTCAGACATCATTTACAAAAGATGCATTTGTGTTTAGTGAGTCTGCCAGATCAGAGGCAGAAGGGATGAACATGTGTTGTCTTGATAAGTGTGTCAATTGGACCATTTTCCTGTCTTGCTAAGCATTCAAAATGTAACAAGTACTTTTAGGTGTCAGGTAAAATGTATGGAGTAAAAAGTACATTATTTACTTTAGGAATGTAGTGAAGTAAAAGTAAAAGTTGTAAAAAATATAAATAGTACAGTAAAGCATAGATACCCCAAAAATCTACTTCAGTAGTACTTTAAAGTATTTTTACATCACTGTCTAACTCTACAGTGGATTGTCTGTCTGTCATTGTTGAGTGAACGTTACTACTGCTACTACCACACACACACACCTTCACCCCCTCCAACACCCCCTCCTGTTCTAACCCCCTCTCCTCCCTCTCCAGGCCCCAGTCCTCCTGTTCTAACCACCTCTCCCTCTCCAGGCCCCAGTCCTCCTGTTCTAACCCCCTCTCCCTCTCCAGGCCCCAGTACTCCTGTTCTAACCCCCTCTCCCTCTCCAGGCCCCAGTCCTCCTGTTCTAACCCCCTCTCCCTCTCCAGGCCCCAGTATTCCTGTTCTAACCCCCTCTCCCTCTCCAGGCCCCAGTACTCCTGTTCTAACCCCCTCTCCTCCCTCTCCAGACCCAGTCCTCCTGTTCTAACCCCCTCTCCCTCTCCAGGCCCCAGTACTCCTGTTCTAACCCCCTCTCCTCCCTCTCCAGCCCCAGTCCTCCTGTTCTAACCCCCTCTCCTCCCTCTCCACCCCTCTCCAGCCCCAGTCCTCCTGTTCTAACCCCCTCTCCCTCTCCAGGCTCCAGTACTCCTGTTCTAACCCCCTCTCCTCCCTCTCCAGCCCCAGTCCTCCTGTTCTAACCCCCTCTCCTCCCTCTCCAGCCCCAGTCCTCCTGTTCTAACCCCCTCTCCCTCTCCAGGCTCCAGTACTCCTGTTCTAACCCCCTCTCCTCCCTCTCCAGGCCCCAGTCCTCCTGTTCTAACCCCCTCTCCCTCTCCAGGTTCCAGTACTCCTGTTCTAACCCCCTCTCCTCCCTCTCCAGGACCCAGTACTCCTGTTCTAACCCCCTCTCCAGGCCCCAGTACTCCTGTTCTAACCCCCTCTCCTCCCTCTCCAGGACCCAGTACTCCTGTTCTAACCCCCTCTCCTCCCTCTCCAGGCCCCAGTACTCCTGTTCTAATCCCCTCTCCTCCCTCTCCAGGCCCCAGTACTCCTGTTCTAACCCCCTCTCCTCCCTTTCCAGGCCCCAGTACTCCTGTTCTAACCCCCTCTCCAGGCCCCAGTACTCCTGTTCTAACCCCCTCTCCTCCCTCTCCATGCCCCAGTCCTCCTGTTCTAACCCCCTCTCCTCCCTCTCCAGGCCCCAGTACTCCTGTTCTAACCCCCTCTCCTCTCCAGGACTCAGTACTCCTGTTCTAAACACCCTCTCCCTCTCCAGGCTCCAGTACTCTCCTGTTCTAACCCCCCTCTCCTCCCTCTCCATGCCCCAGTCCTCCTGTTCTAACCCCCTCTCCTCCCTCTCCAGGCCCCAGTACTCCTGTTCTAACCCCCCTCTCCTCCCTCTCCAGCCCCAGTCCTCCTGTTCTAACCCCCTCTCCTCCCTCTCCAGGACCCAGTCCTCCTGTTCTAACCCCCTCTCCTCCCTCTCCAGGACCCAGTACTCCTGTTCTAACCCCCCCTCTCCTCCCTCTCCAGGCCCCAGTCCTCCTGTTCTAACCCCCTATCCGCCCGCTCCAGCCCAGTCCTCCTGTTCTAAACCCATTCCTCTCCAGGCTCCATCCAGTCCTCCTGGTTTTCTAACCCCCTCTCCCTCTCCATGCCAGTCCTCCTGTTTCTAACACCCCTCTCCTTCTCCCTCTCCAGGCCCCAGTAAACTCCTGTTCAACCCCACCCTCTCCAGCCCCAGTCCTCTCCTGTTCTAACCCACTCTCCTCCCTCTCCATGCCCCAGTCTCCTGTTCGACTACCCCCCTCTCCTCCCTCTCCAGGACCCAGTACTCCTATTCTAACCCCCTCTCCCTCTCCAGGACCCAGCACTCCGACCTGTAGGAACTGTATAGGAGGTAACTGTACTGATAACATCCTACCAGAGGTCTTACAGCAGGGCCTGCTCACCTCTGGATACTTCAACCTGTTCTCCTCCAACAAACCTGCAGGTACGCACACACACACACACACCACACACACACCACACACACACACACACTTCCTCTTTATTTTTGACAGCAGCTAATGGGGATCCTAAAAAATACTAAATACACTGATGCAAACTAACTCACACACTCATCTCTCCCTCCCCTAGGTAAGTGTAGCCACGGCGGGTTTTTTGACCGGACCAGCGGTCGGGATCCGGTAGGGGGCATCAATAAGGACGACGTGGGGTCCAGTCACGGTCACCTCCACCACACCGCAGCCGATGTGGCGGTCAACGCTACCATGGAACTACTGGAGGACATCAGAGGAGCTGCCGGGGACAAGGACTTCCTACGGTGAGAGAGAGAGGCTGAAGTAGGTGGGCGATGTTTAGGCAAGAGGTGTTTATTTGTGACGTTTTGTGTTAAAATTGTAGGATTTGATCAGTACTATGGGTAAGGATTAGGCTGCTGTATGATGAGGGAGCTGTCATTGTAAACTGTTGGGATGAGCTAGGATAGCAAAGGTTGTTTTTGGTTCATAATTCCTACTCCATAATCTCTCTCTCTCTCTCCCAGGTTAATTGGCATCACCCAGTCATCAGTGTTGTGTTTTGTCATCGACACCACAGGAAGTATGAGTGATGACATCACTGAGGCTAAGAGAGTGTCCTTCTCCATCATCGACAGTAAGAGAGGAACCCAGCAGGAACCTTCATCATACATCCTGGTCCCCTTCAATGACCCAGGTGGGTGTTAGCCTGGTCCCAGATCTGTTAGTGCTGTCCCACTCCAACATTATTGTCACGTCACATGCCAAGTGCCTGCCCTGAAACTGGGAGCAGAATGACTGTTTTAACACAAACTTATCTTTTTACTTGTGTGGAATAACAATTAATTTTCACGTCCAATTAAATCATGTGGTGTGTGTGCTTGTGTGTGTGTGTGTGTGGGGGGGGGGGGGGGGGTTGCAGGATTTGGGCCTCTGATCAGCACAACAAACGCAGACATTTTCAAACAGAGCATCAACGCCCTGACAGCATCAGGAGGAGGAGACGTACCAGAGCTGTGCCTGTCGGGACTACAGGTGTGTAGTGTGTGTGTGTGGACAGGCGATGTCATGAGCAAAAGTTACTTTCACAGTTCCAATATGAAGGCTGTATTTGAATGGCTGCATTTGAAATGTGGTTGCCTGTTTTTTGCAACTCTGCCAGAACTGGTTAGTTAGCCAGTGGACTGAAAATGTTATTTCCCATAGAGTTCCAGTAGTTGATCCCAGTGTGGTCTGACTGGTGTGTATGTGTTGTAATTCCCAGCTGGCCCTCACGACCGCGCCACCCTCCTCTGAGATCTTTGTGTTCACTGATGCTCCTGCTAAAGACACCGCACTGAAGAGCACTGTCACCGCCCTCATAGAGAGCACCAAGTCTGTGGTTAGTAGTTTTCACTACAGTTTCTCTCTGTCTCTGTCTCTCTCACTCTGTCTCTCCCCCTTTTGAGACACAGTTTACTGTTTGTGGGCTCACAAGGTGTCTGAGTGTGATGTAAATGCCAGCCATTATGTTACATCTCAAAGTATCTTCTTCTTTCCTTACTTTGACTTTCCTTTAATCCTTAATTCTGTCATCAACCTCTCTCTACCTCTCCTCTCCCCTCCCGCCTCTCCCCCTCCCCTCTCTCCCTCTCCCCCTCCCCCTCTCCCCTCCCTGCCCTCTCCCTCCCCTCGCCTCTCCTCTCTCTATCTCCCCTCTCTCTACCTCTCCTGGTCTCTCTTCTTCTCAACCTCCCTTCTCTCTCTCTAGCCTCTCTCTCCTCTCCTCTCCCTCCTCGTCCTCTCCTCTCCTCTCGTCCTCCCTCTCCTCTCCTCTCCTCGCTCCCTCTCCTCTCTCTCCCTCCCTAACTCCTCTCCTCTCCTCTCCTCTCCCTCTCCTCTCCCTCCTCTCCCCTCCTCTCCTCTCCTCTCCTTCCCTCCTCTCCTCTCCTCTCTCTCTCTCCTCTTCTCTCCTCCTCCTCTCCTCTCCTCTCCTTCCTTCCCTCCTCTCCTCTCCTCTCCCTCTCTCCTCTCCTCTCCTCGCCCTCTCCTTTCTCCCCTCCTCTCCTCTCCTCTCCTCTTTTAAAATAAATCAAGCTCCTCTCCTCGCCTCTCTCTACTTCTCCTCCTACCCCTTCCTCTCCTCTCCTTCCTCTCCTCCCGCACGCCTCTCTCAGCCTCCCTCTCCCTTCTCCTCTCCACTCTCTCCTTCTCTCTCTCGCTCTACCTCTCCTCTCCTAACCTCTCCCTCTCTCCTTACCTCTCCTCACCTCTTACGCTCCTCTCGCCTCTCCTCTCCTTTCCCTCTCTCTTCTCTCTCTCTACCTCTCCTCTCTACCTCTCCTCTGCCATCTTCTCTCCTCTCGTCAGGTGACCTTCATGTTGACTGACAACCTCCGCTCAAGTCGTCGCCGTAGGCATTCCGTGGGCGGGGCTTCAGTTGTATGGCCCAGTCAGGGTGGAGCCTCCAAACCGGATGGCCCAATCAGACGCTCAGCTGTACCATGACCTTGCCCAGGCCTCTGGAGGTCAACCAATCAATCAATCATTCTTATTCACAAAGCAGTTGTCCCAAAGTGCTATACAGCTTCTTATAGAATTATTAGAACATACTGTGTTCCCTTCCTCCAGGTCAGGCCATTGAGGTCACCAAGGTCGACCTACACCGGGCCACCAGCGTCATCGAGGACGCCTCTGCTGCAGCACAGGTATGGCAGAGAGAGGAGAGGTAGAGAGGAGAGGTAGAGAGAGGAGAGGAGAGGAGAGGTAGAGAGAGGTGAGGAGAGGAGAGGTAGAGAGAGGAGAGGAGAGGAGAGGAGAGGTAGAGAGAGGTGAGGAGAGGAGAGGTAGAGAGAGGTGAGGAGAGGCAGAGAGAGGAGAGGAAAGGAGAGGTATAGAGGAGAGGTAGAGAGAGGAGAGGAAAGGAGAAGTAGAGAGGAGAGGAGAGGAGAGGAGAGGAGAGGAGAGGAGAGGAGAGGAGAGGAGAGGAGAGGAGAGGAGAGGAGAGGAGAGGAGAGGAGAGGAGAGGAGAGGAGAGGCGTTGCAAGCGCCATGCTCTACCAACTGAGCTACAGGGGACTTTTTCCACATTTTGTGACGTTACAGCCTTATTTAAAAAATGATTAAATCGTTTTTCTTCCTCATCAATCTACACACAACACCCCATAATGACAAAGCAAAAACAGGTTTTTAGAAATGTTTGCAATTTTAGAAAAAATGAAATGTCACATTTACAAAAGTATTCAGACCCTTTACTCAGTACCATGTTGAAGCACCTTTAGCAGTGATTACAGACTTGAGTCTTCTTGGGTATGACGCTACAAGCTTGGCACTCTATCAGTATTTGGGGAGATTCTCCCAATCTTCTCTGCAGATCCTCTCAAGCTCAGTCAGGTTGGATGGGGAGCGTCGCTGCACAGCTATTTTCAGGTCTCTCCAGAGATGTTCGATCAGGTTCAAGTTTGGGCTCTGGCTGGGCCACCCAAGGACATTCAGAGACTTGTCACGAAGCCACTCCTGCATTGGCTTGGCTGTGTGCTTAGGGTCGCTGTCCAGTTAGAAGGTGAACCTTTGCCCTAGTCTGAGGTCCCGAACCCTCTGGAGCAGGATTTCATCAAGGATCTCTATGTACTTTGCTCCGTTCGTCTTTCCCTCAATCCTGACTAGTCTCCCAGTTCCTGCCGCTGAAAAACATTCCCACAGCATGATGCTGCCACCACCATGCTTCACCGTAGGGATGGTGCCAGGTTTCCTCCAGACGTGACGTTTGGCATTCAGGCCAAAGAGATCAATCTTGGTTTCATCAGACCAGAGAATCTTGTTTCTCTTGGTCTGAGAGTCCTTTAGGTGCCTTTTGGCAAACTCCAAGTGGGCTGTCATGTGCCTTTTACTGAGGAGTGGCTTCCATCTGGCCTGATTGGTGGAGTGTTGTAGAGATGGTTGTCCTTCTGGAATGTTCTCCCATCTCCACAGAGGAACACTAGATCTCTGTCAGAGTGACCATCGGGTTCTTGGTCACATCCCTGGACAAGGCCCTTCTTCCCAGATTACTCAGTTTGGCCGGGCGGCCAGCTCAAGGAAGAGTCTTGGTGGTTCCAAACTTCTTCCATTTAGGAATGATGGAAGCCACTGTGTTCATGGGGACCGTCAATGCTGCAGAATTGTTTGGTACCCTTCCCCAGATCTGTGCCTCAACACAATCCTGTCTTGGAGCTCTACGGACAATTCCTTCGACCTCATGGTCTTTGCTCTGACATGCACTGTCAGCTGTGGGTCCTTATAGAGACAGGTGTGTGCCTTTCCAAATCATGTCCATCATTTTAATTTAACACAGGTGGACTCCAATCAAGTTGTAGAAACATCTCAAGGATGATCAATGGAAACGGGATGCACCTGAGCTCAATTTCGAGTCTCATAGCAAAGGGTCTGAATACTTATGTAAATAAGGTATTTCTGTTTTTTTCTTTGTAATACATTTGCAAAGATTTCGAAAAACCTGTTTTCACTTTGTCATTATGGGGGTATTGTGTGTAGATTGATGAGGAAAAACATTTATTGAATCAATTTTAGAATTAGGCTGTAACATAACAAAATGTGGAAAAAGTCAAGGGGTCTGAATACTTTCCGAATGCACTGTATCTAGTGTATTGTCTATTAACCCCTCCTCCTCCAGGTGACTGTTCTACAGGAGGTAAGGAGCCCAGGAAAGGCAGATAATTTCTCATTCACAGTAGACGAGTCTATGAGAAACCTGAATGCTTACATCACAGGAGGATCCCTCTCCTTCACTCTCACCAGCCCTTCAGGTGTGTGTGTGTTTGACAGCCAGGTGTAACTGGATTTACTGTACACGTCACCTGTCCAGGTAAAGTTTGGGATAATCAGATGTCCCTCTCCTCCCTCCAGGTGTGTCCCAGAGTGACAGTGAGACCAACGGTCCCCTGGGGACCATCCAGACCGTGGGGAACCTACGCCGCGTCTCTCTGACCTCACACAACCATACAGGATTATGGGAAATCAGTATGAACTCCATAGAGTCCTACTCACTGAAGGTCATAGGTCAGTACAGTGTAAAGTGGAGAGCTCTGATCCCTGGTCAACAGTAGTACATTATATATACGGAATAGGGTTTCCCTTCACATCACAGCATTGAGATATCTATCTTTATTCTCTATGTAAGAATTGTTTAAGGGATTAGCTAAAGTGTGTATGTGTGTGTGTGTGTGTGTTTCAGGTCAGAGCTCTGTTAATTTTGGCTACCATTTCGTGGAGGGTTTCGGGGGGGCTCATGGAGACTTTGGGCTCAAAGAGGGCCGTCCTCTCACAGGTAACAATAAAGAACAGAAGTAACCGCCTACGGTACCGACTTTGTCATCTTCATCTTCCATAGCATCACAGCAGAGTAGTTTAAAATAATGTTACAAAATAATAACTTCCTCTTCCTCTCTTCTTTCCCACTGTTTCTGCCTCATTTTATCCCTCGCTCTGTTCCCCTCTTTCATTATTTCTCTCTTCCTCTCTCCTCTTCCTTTCTCTCCCTCTCACCTCGTCCTCTCCCACACCTGTCTCTACCACTCTCTCTCCTCTCCCTTGTCTCTCTTCACCACCCTGTCTCTACACACCTCTCTCTCCTCTCCCTCTGTTCTTCTTCACCACCCTGTCTCTACACACACTCTCTCTCTCCTCTCCCTCTGTCTCTCTTCACCACCCTGTCTCTACACACACTCTCTCTCTCCTCTCCCTCTGTCTCTCTTCACCACCCTGTCTCTACACACCTCTCTCTCCTCTCCCTCTGTCTCTCTTCACCACCCTGTCTCTACACACACTCTCTCTCTCCTCTCCCTCTGTCTCTCTTCACCACCCTGTCTCTACACCCTCTCTCTCCTCTCCCTCTGTCTCTCTTCACCACCCTGTCTCTACACACCTCTCTCTCTCCTCTCCCTCTGTCTCTCTTCACCACCCTGTCTCTACACCCTCTCTCCTCTCTCTCTTCACCCCTGTCTCTCCCTTCTCTCCTCACCCTGTCTCTCACCACCTGTCTACACCCTCTCTCCCTCTGTCTCTCTTCACACCCTGTCTCTACCCTCTCTCTCTCCTCTCCCTCTGTCTCTCTTCACCACCCTGTCTCTACACCCTCTCTCTCTCTCCTCGTCTCTCACCACCCTGTCTCTACACCTTCTCTCTACCCCCTGTCTCTCTCACACCCTTCTCTACATTCTCTCTCCCTCTGTCTCTCTTCACCACCCTGTTCTATCTACACCCCCTCTATTCCCCCTGTCTCTCTCCTCTTCTCCTCTTTCTCTCTTCACCACCCTGTCTCTACACCTACTCTCTCTCTCTCCTCCCCTCTGTCTCTCTTCACCACACCCTTCGTCCTCTCACCCACACACCCTCTCTCTCTCTCCTCTCCCTCTGTCTCTTTTCACCACCCTGACTCTACACCCTCTCTCTCTCTCTCTTTTCATCCCATGTCTCTCCACCTCTCTCTACCTTTTTTACCCCCCCCCCCCCCACTCTATCCCTCTCCCCCCACCCACTCCCAGGTGGTAACATAACCCTGCTAGTGTCTGTAACGGGGGGTGACTCTGTCACTGTGACGGAGGTGGCCCTGGTCGAGGCCTCGGGGTCAGGATCAGAAGTCAATGGAACCCTGCAGTCGCTAGGCGGCACCGGCAGCGGGGACTTCCTGGTTACCATGGCCAAAGTCCCGCAGGGGGAGTTTGTGGTGCGTCTGAGGGGAGAGACCAGCAGTGCCACCACCAAATCATCACCTAGCCTCTTCCAGAGACAGGCCTCCACTCAGATAAAGACTTCCAGCATCTCTGTTATGGTCAGTTGGTTTCCTCTTGTAGAACTCTGAAATTGCACCCTTTTCCTTTGGACCAGGGCCACTAGGGTTCTGGTGAAAAGTAGTGCACTATATATAAGGAATAGGATGCCATTTTGGACAGACCCTGTCTTATTGTTAAAAAGTGAAGTTCTTATCTCCCCAGGCCCAGGCTGACAGTACTCTAGAACCCGGTTCTACCATTTCCGTCCTCTTCACCGTGACGATGGTCAACGGAACCGGAGGAACCTTTACCGTCCGAGCAACCAACGACCGTGGCTTCACTTCCTCCTTCCCTGCCAGCGTCTCCATTGTGACCAGTGGCGGCTTGGCCAATGGTACAGTGACCCTCACGGCGCCCGCCAGCACCCCGTCGGGAACAGACGTCACCCTGACCATCGAGGCAGAGTCCGCTGGAGCTGCAGACTTGAACTACGCCATCCTGCGTCTCTCTGTTGTCAGCAAGGTAAGGGTCGTATTCCAAAACTCTAACATGGGCCTGGCCTCCTTTCCTCATTTCCTTTCTCCCTTATGGCACCTGGTTTGAAAGCTACCAGCTCTACTGGTAAGAGATGGTTCTACCACTACTTCAGTTGTCTGACTAAGCTCTCTATCTGTCTCTGTGTCTCTGTCTCCCCCCCTCCTCCAGGTGACAGATTTCACCCCTCCCCAGTGCGGGGTGGTCAGCATCTCGTCCAACTGCCCGGCTGACTGCAGTGCCTCCTACTGGCAGCTCTCTGCCACCATGACCGACGGTGTCAACGGGACGGGCATTGACCGAGTCACCCTGCGCCAGGGCAACGGGACCCTGAACACTTCTACTGCGGTGGGCACCGGAGGCGAGAACGTGACCTGGGTGGCCTACAGCGCCACCTGCTGTTCAAAGAAGGTAGAACTGGTGGTTGTGGACAAGGCAGGCAACGTGGGTGTGTGTCTGGGCTCAGTGAAGGACTCTGTTGGGGTGGTTGTGAGCTCTACAGCCCAGGCCTCTGTCACCAACACTACAGCTGTACCTGTAGTTAGTACTACATCCTCCGGAGGACCACCTTTGACTCTGTCCCTGTATCTAAGGATCTGTGTGATGCTTTCTCTCCTCATGTGGAATAGAGTAGAGCTATAGAGTTGTATAATAGTTCATATAGGTACTGTAGAGTTAATGTGGAATCAATGCAAAGAGAATCATGTCATCAGACGTAACTGGTATGTATATGTTATGCTGTACTAAGAGACAAGTAGAATATGTAATGAACATGTGGAAATATGAACTCTTTGTCATAAAACACTGTGGAAACTCTGTCATAATACACTGTGGAAACTGTCATAATACACTGTGGAAACTCTGTCATAATACACTGTGGAAACTGTCATAATACACTGTGGAAACTGTCATAATACACTGTGGAAACTGTCATAATACACTGTGGAAACTCTGTCATAATACACTGTGGAAACTCTGTCATAATACACTGTGGAAACTGTCATAATACACTGTGGAAACTCTGTCATAATACACTGTGGAAACTCTGTCATAATACACTGTGGAAACTGTCATAATACACTGTGGAAACTGTCATAATACACTGTGGAAACTGTCATAATACACTGTGGAAACTGTCATAATACACTGTGGAAACTGTCATAATACACTGTGGAAACTCTGTCATAATACACTGTGGAAACTCTGTCATAATACACTGTGGAAACTGTCATAATACACTGTGGAAACTCTGTCATAATACACTGTGGAAACTCTGTCATAATACACTGTGGAAACTCTGTCATAATACACTGTGGAAACTCTGTCATAATACACTGTGGAAACTCTGTCATAATACACTGTGGAAACTCTGTCATAATACACTGTGGAAACTTTTGTATTTATTATTATTATTATTATTATTATTATTATTATTTATATTACCTTAAATCTGTCCAACCGAAACTATGAAGATCTTGTCAAAACGTCTGCTTTTGGTGAAATTCCCTTCTAAACCAAGTTGACCGTCAGTTTCATTCTGAATAACTCTTCACATTGATGTCACACACTGACAGTATAGATAGAAAACAGAACCCCTATACGTTATGAGGCCATTGGTGATGTATGTGATGAATTCATAGGGACACATTTTGATCCATTCTAATATATTATCACCTCAATTAACGCTTGTTGAATCTTATTTTAAAAACTGATGTGCACTGTGGGAAATAAAAAAATATATATGTTAGAAGCTAAAGTGGGGGAAGTCACGTGGTGGCCAATGATGTGGTGATTTGACAGTTTCTCGTCAGTTAAAACAGTGTCACTTACAGTATGGAACAGAAACAGACACAGGGCAGAGGTAACGATACCTAAAGAACCTGGGGAGACTAAACATACATCTGTTAGACAGAAAAACAGTACATTTCTGGAGATATCTGAGCCCATCTATTCTGAGCCAGATATAACCAAGAGGTTTGACAGAGGTGAGATGGAGGAGAGGATTGTGGATATCTACATCAGTGCAGACACCCTGAGAGACGGTGAGACCAGCACCAAGAGAGAAGAGACAGCAGACACTGCTCCTAATAATGGACCAGGAGACCAGTACTCAGGTAACAAACACACACACACATACACACACACACATAAAAGTTATTTTATGTGTCCACAGATCCTGATAGCTCAGGGAAGAATTCGTTCCTAGTTGCTGCAGTGTGTCTGGGGCTGCTGTGTGTTCTCCTACTGGCTGGGATCGTATATTGTGTTGAATTGTGTCACCACACAGAGAACGCCTGTTGTCCTGACGGATGGAGGAAGTTTGGCTGCAGCTGTTACTACATCTCTACTGAGTCGAAGACTTGGAATGACAGCAAACAGGATTGTTTGGGGAGAGTAGCAGACCTGGTGATCATAAACAGCAAGGAGGAACAGGTGAGAGAGAGGGGGAGGGCTGATGAGGGTGAGATAATTTGATGACGACAATGATATTTCAATTATAAATGTAACATATATAGACAACATCTTCGTCATTTCCAAAGGTATTTCTCACGGAATTCAACAAGACAGCCTGGATCGGTCTGACTGAGATCGATGAAGAGGGGACCTGGAAATGGGTGAACGGCACACCGCTGATTATATTCTGATCGACTGACATTTCAAAAAATATAATTTAGGATGAATGTTTAGCTAGCTAGTAGACTAAAAGGTAAATAAATGTGAATGTTTTTCTTTATTGAACATAATAGGTTTGTTAACACTATTCACCAAATACAGTGGGGTAAAAAAAATATTTAGTCAGCCACAAATTGTGCAAGTTCTCCCACTTAAAAAGATGAGAGAGGCCTGTAATTTTCATCATAGGTACACCTCAACTATGACAGACAAAATGAGGAAAAAAATCCAGAAAATCACATTGTAGGATTTTTTATGAATTTATTTGCAGATTATGGTGGAAAATAAGTATTTGGTCAATAACAAAAGTTTCTCAATACTTTGTTATATACCCTTTGTTGGCAATGACACAGGTCAAACGTTTTCTGTAAGTCTTCACAAGGTTTTCACACACTGTTGCTGGTATTTTGGCCCATTCCTCCATGCAGATCTCCTCTAGAGCAGTGATGTTTTGGGGCTGTCGCTGGCCAACACGGACTTTCAACTCCCTCCAAAGATTTTCTATGGGGTTGAGATCTGGAGACTGGCTAGGTCACTCCAGGACCTTGAAATGCTTCTTACGAAGCCACTCCTTCGTTGCCCGGGCGGTGTGTTTGGGATCATTGTCATACTGAAAGACACAGCCACGTTTCATCTTCAATGCCCTTGCTGATGGAAGGAGGTTTTCACTCAAAATCTCACGATACATGGCCCCATTCATTCTTTCCTTTACACAGAACAGTCGTGCTGGTCCTTTGCAGAAAAACAGCCCCAAAGCATGATGTTTCCACCCCCATGCTTCACAGTAGGTATGGTGTTCTTTGGATGCAACTCAGCATTCTTTGTCCTCCAAACGCGACGAGTTGAGTTTTTACCAAAAAGTTATATTTTGGTTTCATCTGACCATATGACATTCTCCCAATCCTCTTCTGGATCATCCAAATGCACTCTAGCAAACTTCACACGGGCCTGGACATGTACTGGCTTAAGCAGGGGGACACGTCTGCACTGCAGGATTTGAGTCCCTGGCGGCATAGTGTGTTGCTGATGGTAGGCTTTGTTACTTTGGTCCCAGCTCTCTGTAGGTCCCCCCGTGTGGTTCTGGGATTTTTGCTCACCGTTCTTGTGATCATTTTGACCCCACGGGGTGAGATCTTGCGTGGAGCCCCAGATCGAGGAAGATTATCAGTGGTCTTGTATGTCTTCCATTTCCTAATAATTGCTCCCACAATTGATTTCTTCAAACCAAGTTGCTTACCTATTGCAGATTTAGTCTTCCCAGCCTGGTGCAGGTCTACAATTTTGTTTCTGGTGTCCTTTGACAGCTCTTTGGTCTTGGCCATAGTGGAGTTTGGAGTGTGACTGTTTGAGGTTGTGGACAGGTGTCTTTTATACTGATAACAAGTTCAAACAGGTGCCATTAATACAGGTAACGAGTGGAGGACAGAGGAGCCTCTTAAAGAAGAAGTTACAGGTCTGTGAGAGCCAGAAATCTTGCTTGTTTGTAGGTGACCAAATACTTATTTTCCACCATAATTTGCAAATAAATTCATTAAAAATCCTACAATGTGATTTTCTGGAATTTATTTTCTCGATTTGTCTGTCATAGTTGACGTGTACCTATGATGAAAATTACAGGCCCCTCTCATCTTTTTAAGTGGGAGAACTTGTACAATTGGTGGCTGACTAAATACTTTTTTCCCCCACTGTACAAAGGTTTGGAAACAACGTCTACATGCACTGAGGTTCTATTGCATCACTGGATTTCCACAGTGTCTGACTGTCTGGTTCTCTGTGTTGTTTTCCCTCTAGGTACTGGGGGAGAAACCAGCCTGATAATGGTGATGGTCCTATAATACACGTAGGAGAGGAGGACTGTGCTGAGATATATGTTGGTGGACAAAACTGTAACGATGTAAATTGTGACGACCAACGTAACTCCTGGATTTGTGAGAAAATGGTTTAACAATAACCTACTCTAAAAACTCTCTCTCTATCTCTCTATCTATCTCACAAACATATTCATGAATTAATACAATTCCTTTTTTACTTCCTGAGATACAGTAGTAGCTTCCTGTCTTCAGTAGTTACATGATGGACACATCACCAGACACAGACAATGAATGACACACAACAACACTAAAATGACATGGCTGCATTAGAACAGATTGAAGGGAACACCATGTGGTCATTAAGTTAGTACAGTCCACTCCTGATAAGCGCACATCCGATTCGTACCAGACCTGGGTTCAAATACTATTTGAAATCTTTCAAATACTTTGAGCATTTGCTGTAGGCTGCTGGAATGTCAGATGGGCGGGGTTCGCACTTTTTGAGACTTTTCTATTGCAAAATGTAAGCTCAATCAGCTAAAATATTGTTGATGATTTCCACACACCGTACTCAGGAATAAGATACAAATATTTGTAAAATATTAAAGATAAAGATAAGACCGGTGAAAAAGAGAAGAAAATGTGCTAACCTCAACCACCCATGTTACTCTTCAATCATAGTTCATGCATGGACTCTACAAGGTGCCGAAAGCGTTCCACAGGGATGCTGGACCATGTTGACTTCAATGCTTCCCACAGTTGTGTCAGATTAGGCTTGGGCGGTACACTGGGGGATTTGGATTTGGTTTTTCAATACCGTAAAAACTATTTATTTGAAGTTTTTCAATACATTTTAATATTGGCAGCTTTTTTTTAAGTGGGTTCATTAATCAGCTGGTATAAAGCAAACAGTTTACAAAAATTCTTAAGAGCTTTAAAAGTAGCATGGCCCTTTTTGATCATATCTGTATTAAAATCACCAGTAACAATAACCTCTGATTTACCAAAGTCTGTACAATTGGAACAAGTCTCCTCCAACAATTCATAAGCTGGATTGCCTGTCTTGAGAGAAGGACGTATGCCGATATGAAAATCTGGAAACCACCCAACCCTAATGAAGATACTTTGGCTCCAGTTTCTACTTCCTCCCACTGAGGAGAAAACCTGTGTCACACCCTGGCTCTGGGACTCATTATGTTGAGCCAGGGTGTGTTCATTTCTATGTGTGTATTTCTGTGTTGGTGTTCATTCTAGTTTGTTGTATTCTATGTTTGCCTGAGTGACTCCCAATCAGAGGCAACGAGTGTCAGCTGTTGGCTGGTTGTCTCTGATTGGGAGCCATATTTAAACTGTATGTTTTCCCTTTGTGGTTGTGGGTTTTTGTTCCGTGTTCGGTCATTGATACCGTGGACGTCACGAGTCGTGTTTTGTTTTGTATTTTGACGCTTTAACTAATTAAAGTCATGTTTGTTCATCACGCTGCGCCTTGGTCTACTCCTTACCTCGACCGTGACAGAAAAACCCACCATGCAACGACCAAGCAGCGTGTCCAGGGGCAGCCCTTGGGGTGGACATGGGAGGAAGTGCCGGGAAAGGCCCTGGCGAAAGAGGAGCAGCGTGTCCAGGAGCAGGCAGCCTGGACATGGGAGGAGATATTGGACGGTAAAGGGTCCTGGACTTGGGGGGAAATCCTGGCCGGGATGGATCGCCGGCCATGGAGTGAGACAGTGGAGAGGCGACGGAGAGAGGAGCAACGGCGTGATCAGTGTCGTCGTCGGACGGTCGTGAGGCAACCCCAGAACATTTTTAGGGGGGGGTACACGGCATTGACGACGGGGCTGACGGAGGAGAAAAGGGGGCGGATCCAGAAGGCCACCAGGCCAGGGGTTCACCGCCCTGTACGTCCTGTGCGGATGCCTCACACAGAGTGTGTGAGGGTAGGCATTCAGCCAGGACGGGTGGTGGCCGCTTTTCACTCCAGGCCTCCTATCCGTCTCCACAGCCCGGTTCGGCCTGTCCCTGCTCCACGCACCAAGCCTACGGTGTGCGTCGCCAGCCCAGCCCGGCCTGTCTCTGCTCCACGCACCAAGCCTACGGTGTGCGTCGCCAGCCCAGTCCGGCCTGTCCCTGCTCCACGCACCAAGCCTACGGTGTGCGTCGACAGCCCAGCCCGGCCTGTTCCTGCTCCACGCACCAAGCCTACGGTGTGCGTCGCCAGCCCGACCCGGCCTGTTCCTGCCACTCGCACCAAACCTACGGTGCGCGTCGCCAGCCCGGTCCGGCCTGTTCCTGCCACCCGCACCAAGTCTACGGTGCGCGTCGCCAGCCCGACCCGGCCTGTTCCTGCCACTCGCACCAAACCTACGGTGCGCGTCGCCAGCCCGGTCCGGCCTGTTCCTGCCACCCGCACCAAGTCTACGGTGCGCGTCGCCAGCCCGACCCGGCCTGTTCCTGCCACCCGCACCAAGTCTACGGTGCGCGTCGCCAGCCCGACCCGGCCTGTTCCTGCCACTCGCACCAAACCTACGGTGTGCGTCGCCAGCCCGGTCCGGCCTGTTCCTGCCACCCGCACCAAGTCTACGGTGCGCGTCGCCAGCCCGACCCGGCCTGTTCCTGCCACTCGCACCAAACCTACGGTGCGCGTCGCCAGCCCGGTCCGGCCTGTTCCTGCCACTCGCACTAAGCCAGGGGTGCGAGAAGTCAGCCTGGTAAGGCCCGTTCCTTCTCCACGCACCAAGCCAGGGGTGCGAGTCGTCAGCCTGGTAAGGCCCGTTCCTCCTCCACGCACCAAGCCAGGGGTGCGCGTCGTCAGCCTGGTAAGGCCCGTTCCTCCTCCACGCACCAAGCCAGGGGTGCGAGTCGACAGCCTGGTAAGGATCGCTCCTGTTAAGTCCAGTCCTGCTCCAGCCGGCGGGGCCAGACTGGACCAGGGGCACTATGGGGGGTGTATTGGAGGGTGGTGGTCAAGGCCGGAGCCAGAACCGCCGCCGAGGAGGTATGCCCGCCCAGCCCTCCCCTGGTTTGTTTAGTTGAGGCGCGGTCGCAGTCCGCACCTTTAGGGGGGGGGGGGGGGGGGGGGGTACTGTCACACCCTGGCTCTGGGACTCATTATGTTGAGCCAGGGTGTGTTCATTTCTATGTGTGTATTTCTGTGTTGGTGTTCATTCTAGTTTGTTGTATTCTATGTTTGCCTGAGTGACTCCCAATCAGAGGCAACGAGTGTCAGCTGTTGGCTGGTTGTCTCTGATTGGGAGCCATATTTAAACTGTATGTTTTCCCTTTGTGGTTGTGGGTTTTTGTTCCGTGTTCGGTCATTGATACCGTGGACGTCACGAGTCGTGTTTTGTTTTGTATTTTGACGCTTTAACTAATTAAAGTCATGTTTGTTCATCACGCTGCGCCTTGGTCTACTCCTTACCTCGACCGTGACAACCTGGGAGAAGAGCGGTCAAGACCCAGTTTCACAAAAATCACCTTAAGGCTAAGTTCATCGTTAGAAGCTTCGTACGAGCATCTTAACATTTCCGAGCCATTTCCCAAAATCGCCTTTATTAACGTTGCACTTGAAATCGCTCGTAATCTAACTTTTGCCTCAGACCACTCCTAGAACAGCTAAGGGCGTCGTTAGATCACCGTTTGCCCTCCCGAGTCACTTTACACACAGAAAATCTCGCAAGCCTAAATTCCATTGCTATCGGGAAGAAAGAGAGAGAAAGAGAGAGAGAGAGACACAGAGGCCTAAGGGAGGGAGGTGGAGCAAGCATCATTTATCAGTACACTAATATGTATTTATTATAAATTAATAATACATTATAATTATATATACTGTACATGACATCATCTTTATCTTTCTCAACAACAGACATTTCTCTTCAATCTCCACCTGAGAGTCTGGATTGGTCTGACTGACTCTGTTAATGAGGGGACCTGGAAATTGGTGAATGGCACACCACTGACCACAGGATGAGAGATTTTACCATTTTACCTTGTGATATGGAGATTTTGAAAACAAATGATATATTGCTTCTAATCATGTTCATAAAAAGTTATGTTTCCCCTCATAGATGTCATTCCATGAGAACTATAGATGTATCAACCAAGAGCTATTTGAAAAATGAAAATGTCATGGAAATAACAATAACATTTTGTTGATGGCCCACTTTGGATAATGGATGCACATCTTACAGACTGAGGATTTAAAATTGAATTTGTATTACAGTTTTTTACGATTGCTTACACACTAAAATTTAACTTTTCCCACAATTAGCAAAACCTTACACTGAAGGAGCAAAACACAAGGCTATATTTGCACAACTGTAAGCACATTGTCAGCTTCACACTATTGGCAAAACATTACACACAGTGATTTGCAAAGCACTAAACACACTTGTATACATCAGACACAGAAGTATATCATGATGTCACTTCCTTGCAATTCCAAAGCACTGACTGTCAAATTACCACACCTATGAGCCAATCTGTTAAACACAGCCATCAGGTGCACAAACACATGATTGCTAAATTGTAGACACACCAATCAGGTTTATGCACTATAAAAATGCAGCAGGTAGGTTCACCTGCCTTCAACCAAAATGGAAGGAGTCAGAAGAAGAGTGAGGGTGAGAGGAGGAGTACACAGAGGAGGAGAAGGAGGTAGAGGAAGAGGCAGAGGCCGAGCCAGAGGTCGAGGAAGACCTGAAGCAGGAGGAGAACGTGCACAAAGAAGAAGAGGACCAAACTTATTAAATGACATTCGTGCAACACTAGTGGACCATGTTGTGAACCACGGATTGACGCTGAGGGAGGCTAGACTGAGAGTTCAGCCAAATCTTAGCAGATATACAGTGGCATCTGTCATAAGGACTTTTCGACAGGAAAACAGGTGAAAGAAGATCTGTCTACAGTTACAGTAATCAGCCGCTAATTGTATGCACCATATCAGCACTTGTGATACTCCTTCCTGTGACATTGTACAGTAAGTTACATGTATTATTCTCTACATAGGATTGAGGGTCGGGAACGACAAGGAGGAAGGGGGCCCATATTCACGCAAGAACAAGAGAGAGAGATAATAAACATGGTTTTGGCCAATAATGCTATCAGGCTCAGAGAACTACAAGCCAACATTATCGGTGACCAGGCCATTTTCAATAATGTCCATCAGGTCTCTCAGTCAACACTGGCACGCATCCTGAAAAGACATCAGGTACAAATGAAACAACTTTATCGAGTGCCTTTTGAGCGGAATTCAGAGAGGGTCAAACGGCTGCGGCATTAGTATGTGGAGGTTTGTATTGTTCACTTTAGCACTGTGATGTTGCATACTGCACACATGACTTTTTTACATTGACTGTATACTAGACCTATCCTGAACTACACAATCTTGTCTTTCACTGTATTTCAGAGAGTTTTGCAGATGGATGCTGATGAAATCCTGCATGAATTCATATATATTGATGAGGCAGGGTTCAACCTCACAAAAGCAAGAAGGAGAGGCAGAAATATCACTGGCCACAGGGCTATAATCAATGTCCCAGGGCAACGTGGGGGTAACATCACCCTTTGCGCTGCCATTTCACAACATGGGGTTCTCCTTCGTCATGCCAAAACGGGCCCTTACAACAAACCTCACATTCTCGCATTTTTGGACCGATTGCACCACATCGTCACAGCAGGTAATGAAATGCACCAGATGCAATACACTGTCATCTGGGACAATGTGTCATTCCACCGCTCTGCTTTGGTCCAGAACTGGTTTCAACACCATCCACAGTTGACAGTACTATACCTTCCACCATACTCTCCGTTTCTAAACCCTATCGAAGAGTTTTTCTCTGCATGGCGGTGGAAGGTTTACGATCTCCAGCCCCAGGCTCAGGTACCCCTCATTCAGGCCATGGAGGATGCCTGTGACCAAGTCCACGACGCAGCTGTGCAAGGATGGATTCGACATTCAAGACGGTTCTTCCCGCGTTGTCTTGCTAATGAGGATATTGCTTGTGATGTTGATGAAATTCTTTGGCCAGATCCAGCTAGGCGAAGAGATAATGTATAGTATGTTAACTGTAGTATTTTCTGTACAATATTGTCAGTTTTTTTCAGATTATTTTTTATGTTTGTTGTTGTTGTTATTTACTGTAATTGTAACCTGTACTGGATACAGTATTTTACGTTTGTCTGTTGTTTGCTGAGCTAACAGTGTTATGCACACTAGTGTAGTAGCATGAAAACTGGGACATGTTTTGTTGTGATTCTCCATGTTGACATGTTGACTGATTTGGGTATATGGAGAGAAATAAATGATATTTTCCTCAGTCTGCAGCATTGGTCTTGTGTAGTGTTTGTATAGTTGCACTTTCTCTGTGTACTTCATTTACAGTACTCTAATCACTGAGAATTAGACTTGCTAAAAGTGTTTTAGGTTAGCAACAGCAGTGTGTAACTGGTTCAAAAAGATTGAAGTCATATGAAATGTGTGTGTTTCGTATGGTAACAAAATATTGTTTTTATGAAGTTGTTTATAGTTTTGACAAACGTGTTCCATTTTGCAAATGCTCTAAAGTGTTGTGCTACTTTGGTGTATGGTTGTGCTAATTGTGTGTAGTGTTTTGACAAACCGGGCCCTGTTTTCAAATTGTGCTTAAACAATTGAAAAAAAACGGTATTATTTTACTGTTTTATTTCACTTTGTCCTTCATTGTTGGAGCTCGGAGCTCAATAATTTCACTGTACCCTATAATTACATCTGCAACCCTGTACATGTGACTATTCAACTGTAATCTAATCTAATTGAGGAGGATGTTTGTACCACAGTGTCTGACTGTCTGGTTCTCTGTGTTGTTTAGGTACTGGGGGGCAGGACAGCCTGATGATAGTGGTCCGTTTTCGGGGCAAGAGGGAATGTGTTGAGATATACTATGGACAAGATGACTCTGTAAAGACATGGAATGATGACAATTGTGGCACAAACCATAACTGGATCCGTGAGAAAATGATTTAATAATAACCTGCTTTAGCCTCTCTCTACACTCTTGCTATCTAGAACCGAAAAGGGTTCTTCAGTTGTCCCCATAGGAGAACCATTTGAAGAACCCCTTTTGGTTCCAGGTAGAATCCTTTTGGTTTCCCTGTAGAACCCTTTCCACACAGGGTTCTCCATGAAAACCAAAAGCGTTCTACCTGGAAGCAATACCTATGGGGACAGCCACAGAACCCTTTTGGAATCCTTTTTTCTAAGTGTGTAGGTTTGAGAAGGAGGAGAGGAGATAGGGTTGAGAAGGAGGAGAGTAATCTAGGAAAGACTAATTGAGATAGAGCCTTAGTGTCAGAGAGACATAGAGGAGGAAGAAGAACATTAAGAGAATGAGGAAGAGAGAAACAATAAGACAAATAATAGTTTTGTTTAGATTTAGAGGAGAGGATGTAGACGTACTGTACTCTGGAAAATGACTCTTCATTATTTTATTACAAACATGTCATGTGATTTGCCATAGGCTTAGTTTAATTATGAATAATGAATAATTATTAGCAAAAATCACTTTAATAATAATAAGAATAAAGACACATATGAATAAATAAAGGAACAATGTCGTTTAACAAGGTCTACCAGCTTCCTGATTGAATGTGATTGGATACTTAAAAGAGTGTCACCTGCAGTTGGGCACAGACAGAGGGCAGTACTGAGAGGACACACACATGCCGCATGAAGGCACACACACACACACACACACACACACACACACACACACACACACACACACACACACACACACACACACACACACACACACACACACACACACACACACACACACACACACACACACACACACACACACACACACACACACGCACACGCACACGCACACACACACACACACGCACACACACACACACACGTGAAGTTCCCATTTTAAACCTCTGGTAAAGATGAAGACATAGATTTCCTCACACTGCTGTCACACGCAGACAGCATAGATAGAAAAAAAGGACCTTATATGGCCATCGATGGCCAGTCACAGAGTACAAGCAACTTCCTTATGAATGATGCCACAAACAGGCCTTATGAAGTGATAGGCTGAAAGGCTGCACTCGTCACTACTTGTTGTCATGCAGCTATCATGTTATATCACTGTGTTTAGAATATCCTGTCATGTTTAACTTCCTGATTGAAGGTGATTGGACACTTAAAACATTCTATCAACTGCGGTGGACAACAGAGAGGTCCCTGGTGGAGACGCATATCAGACCAACTACTCAACTACTTGTCAATAAAGTTACAATCATACAGTAGATATTACCATTAGGAGTCAGTTAGAAAGGTAATCATACAGTAGATATTACCATTAGGAGTCAGTTAGAAAGGTAATCATACAGTAGATATTACCATTAGGAGTCAGTTAGAAAGGTAATCATACAGTAGATATTACCATTAGGAGTCAGTTAGAAAGGTAATCATACAGTTAGTTCAGATGGATGACTACATCAACGACCAGGTTATTGAATTAAATGAGATTATAGAAGAAAATGAGAACAGAGCAACGAGGAGAGTGAAGACTGAGACCCATCGCTCAGGTAAGAACTAAGAAAGCTCTCTATCACACACACAGACACAAACACATACACACACACACACACACACACACACAGAGACAGACAGACAAAGACTTAAACACATGAATAAAAACACTGACAAATGCTAACCAGCAAAATATAGTTTTAACCAAGTTTTGAGGCTATACATTCAGTTTGTTAACAATATTGTTTACAAACAAATAATAAAAAGCTTATTTTGGGTTCTGATGGGGTACGTCTGTTGAACTAAGCTCATGATGCATTTATAAGTTATCATCTTTAAGATTGGATTGGTCGACTTTATATCATAAAACAGCTGTGAGAAACGCTCCTATTGTGGCTGATTATGTCACACCCCCACGCTCTTATACGTGTGTTTGTGCGTGCACGTACGTGTGATTGCATGTGGGTGTTTGTGCATGTGCACGTGTGTGTGGGGGTATATGTGTGTGTGTGTGTGTGTGTCGGGGGAGTGGGTATATGTGTGTTCTCACATCAGTGTGTATCTCCTCAGGACCTGAGGATTCAGGGAGAAGACTCTACAGGATGGGTGCTGTGAGCTTTGGGATGCTGTGTGTTCTACAAGTCACTCTCAACATCTCCCTGAGACTAGTCTGTGAGTGTATTGTTATCTAATCATTACACTATATCAGACTTTCACAACAAGGTCCTAACTTCACTTAGTTCCTCCTCTGTTCGACATGTTTAAGGAACTTACAAACCAAATCCAAGATAGTGTCCTCTTTCAGCAGACATTCTAGAGCAGTGTTTCTCAAAAAGGGGTGCACATTTTTATTTTTGCCTTAGGACTACATAGCTGATTCAAATGATAATCTTATCATCACACTTTAATGATTTGAATCAGGTGTGTAATGCTAAGGTCAAAACAAAAATGTGCACCCCTTTGGGTCCCTAGGACCAGTGTTTTTTAAACCTCTTCTTGGGGACCCCCAGCTGTTCCATGTGTATTTCAGGGCTAGCAGATGATTCCAATTGTCAACTAATCATAAATTCCTTGAATAGGTGAAATGACCTAGTTTAGGGCTACAACAACATTGTGAAATGTCTGGGGGTCCCAGTGGACCGTGTGTTTTTAACATCTGTCACTTACAGTAGCAGTAACAAATGACGTTTTCACCAGTAGCTATATGTATAAATCCTTTCCAGATAACAGAAGCATCAGAGACTCTGAAAATAAGCATTTCTTTCTTTATAAAACTAATGTGACTAAAGGGAGAGACCAGTTACAGACCAGTTACAACGGGCTGACTAAAGAGAGAGACCTGCTGCAGACCAGTTACAACGGGCTGACTAAAGAGAGAGACCAGCTGCAGACCAGTTACAACGGGCTGACTAAAGAGAGAGACCAGATTCAAAGAGAGAGAGACAACTATCAGAAGAAGTTTGACGGCAAGTGAACTGAACTGGTATTCCTTTTGATGTCAATCCCCAATCAAAATGGCAACCATAGAGCCTTAAGGAACTGAAACGGGTTTGCTTCAATCATGTCAACTGTATAAAACCTTTAGGTAACACTTTTAGGATAACCCCAAGTGATTGTATTTATTTATTGTGTTGTATTCTTCAACAGAGAAAACCTGTTGTTCTAATGGATGGATGGGGTTTGAACGCAGCTGTTACCACATCTCTACTTCCTACACTAAGAAGAACACCTGGGGTTACGCCAAACAGGACTGTCTGAAGAGAGGAGCTGATCTGGTGATCATAAACAGTAAAGAGGAACAAGTGAGTGAGTGAGAGTGTGAGTGAGAGTGAGAGTGAGAGTGAGAGTGAGAGTGTGAGTGTGAGTGTGAGTGTGAGTGTGAGTGTGAGTGTGAGTGTGAGTGTGAGTGTGAGTGAGTGAATGAGTGAGTGAGAGAGATTAACAATGTTTTCTGTCACAACAACAGACATTTATCAATGGGTTGAACGATGTCAGTGAAGCCTGGATTGGTCTGACTGACTCTGTTACTGAGGGGACCTGGAAATGGGTGGACGGAACCCCACTGACCACCCCAAGGTAAGAAACTACTGCTCTATAATAACACTGACCACCCCAAGGTAAGAGACTACTGCTCTAATTACACTGACCAGAGTGTAAGGAGTAGGACTGATTCTCTTTGTTGTTCATACTCTAGGTTCTGAGAGAGTAACCAGTCTAAATCTGTTGTTTCTACTGCAGGTTTTGGGCGAGTTTACAGCCTAATGGTGGTAGAGGTGAGAATTGTGTGTTGTTCGGTCACTGGTCATCAGGCCAAGGAACATGGCATGACTATCCGTGTTCATATAACAGTTCCTGGATCTGTGAGATATAGTTATCTCTCGCTCTCTCGTAGTTATCATGTTGATGGTCGTGCTGAACGTCATGATGCCAACTACAGTGCCTTCAGAAAGTTTTCACACCCCTTGACTTTTTCCATATTTTGTTGTGTTACAGCATTAATTTAAAATGGATTAAATTGAGATTTTACTATCACTGGCATACACACAATAACCCATAATGTTGAAGTGGAAATATGTTTTTCAATTATTTATTTTTTTACAAATTAATAAAAGATTTCAAGCTGAAATGTCTTGAGTCAGTAAGTATTCAACCCCTTTGTTATGGCAAGCCTAAATACGTTCAGGAGTAAAAATGTGCTTAACCTTGACACATAATAAGTTGCATAGACTCACTCAGTGTGAAATACTAGTGTTAAATTAACATGAACATTTTTTAAATGACTACCTAATCTCTGTACCCCACACATACAATTATCTGTAAGGTCCCTCAGTCGAGCAGTGAACCTGATTGACAGAGTGAAAAGAAGGAAGCCTGTACATAATAAAAAATATTCCAAAACATGCATCCTGTTTGTAACAAGGCACTAAAGTAATACTGCAAAAACTGTGGCAAGCAATTAACTTTTGTCCTGAATACAAAGTGTTATGTTTGCTATGTTTGGGGCAAATCCAATACAACACATTACAGAGTACCACTCTCCATATTTTCAAGCATAGTGGTGGCTTTATCATGTTATGGGTATGCTTGTAATCGTTAAGAAGTGGGGAGTTTTTCAGGATAAAAATAAACGGAATAGAGCTAAACACAGGAAAAATCCTAGAGGAAAACCTGGTTCAGTCTGCGTTCCACCAGACACTGGGAGATGAATTCACCTATCAGCAAGACAATAACCTAAAACACAAGGCCAAATCTACACTGGAGTTGCTTACCAAGAAGACAGAGAATGTCCCTGAGTGGCCGAGTCACAGTTCTGACTTAAATCTACTTGAACATCCATGGCAAGACCTGGAAATGGTTGTCTAGCAATGATCAACCACCAATTTGACAGAGCTTGAAGAATTTTGAAAAGAATAATGGACAAATGTTGCACAATCCAGGTGTGGAAAGACTAATAATCGCTGCCAAAGGTCCTTCTACAAAATATTAACTCAGGGGTGTGAATACTTATGTAAATGAGATATAGGTATATTTAATTTTCAATACATTTGCTCATATTTCTAAAAACATGATTTCACATAGTCACTGTGGGGTACTGTGTGTAGATGGGTGAGAAAAAAAATCAATTTAATCCATTTTGAATTCAGGCTGTAACACAAAAATATATATATATAAATTAATGGGTATGAATACTTTCTGAAGGCACTGTAGTGGTTAAAAAGGGTTATTAAAAACTTGCCAATGGTCTCTTTCTCAATTAATCTTTCCTCGATTCCTCCTCGCCTCCTTCTCAAAACACATTGGAGAATACAAGCCTTGAATACCCCTTTCCATAGTGGGGTCATAATAGTTTGTCGGTCAAACCGTTCGGACGCTACATACGTTTTCGTGAGAAGACCGATTTTCGGGTAGAGGCAGAACCATACATATAACAGACCAAAGGCATTGTACGTTTCCATATTGATGGTGATTACCACAGATATGCAGATTGATGGTGATTACAACAGATATGCAGATTGATGGTGATTACATATATGCAGACTGCAGAATCAAACATGAGGTTATCCACCATCAGAAACATCAACTTCCTGTTAAGAGGTCACATGGCATGACAGCTAAGAAGCTGAGCTTGTAGAAAACAGCCAGTAGGGGGAGACAAACACTACTAAAAGTAGGTATTTATACACATGTAACAGGAAAGACTAAAGCCTTGTTCACATTGGCAGTTTGAAATGACTCAAATCCTATTGTTTTGCATATCTGATTCAAATCTGTTCCTTTTCCTGCAGTCTGAACAGCCAAAAGCCAAATGGAATTGGATATTTCAAGCCACATTTCAAACCACCTTCCTAGTTGGTTTGTACTCAGATACAAATCTGGTTCCTTGCCATGCGACTTGTGTCTGAACAGTGAAATCTGATTTGTTTGCCCTCAAGTGGTTTTTAGACTGTTATTTGGCATATCTTGTTGCTTTCTAGCTACTCTGTTAACATTTTGACAAGAACATGTGGTAGCTAACTAGCTTGTTAATGATGCACTGTGCAGAAATCACTCGGCCATTTCCTGGTAGCCTAATATCAGTTTATGTAACAAATCAAGGACAAATAGTGTAGCGCAGGGGTGTCAAACTCATTTTAGCTCAGGGGCCACATGGAGGAAAATCTATTCCCAAGTGGGCCGGACCGGAAAAATCATGGTATATATAACTTAAAAACAACAACTTCAGATTGTTTTCTTTGTTTTAATACGATCAACATACAACATAAAGCTGGAGCCTGAGGACAGTGTGTCCAAAATAGTACAAGCACAACATCACTATTAATCATAAAACACGTCAAGTTTATGTGAAAATTCTAAAGAAAAAGAACACACAAACACACAATGCCTCAGTGATTAACAGAACTGTTTCACAGATCACAGAACTATATCAGGGTGCTTC